CTTGCTACAAGTACGCTTTGGAAGTGAGGTAAGTGAGCCATGCTACCTAAAAAACAGGTACTTGTACCAATAATGTATTTTGTGTGTAAAAGCTCGATGCAGTTGAGATTCAAGCGCCTTATTTTTAACTTTTTGCTTTGTTTAAACAAAAAAAAATCTTCCTTCGCTTTTTAATGAAAGAAGCATTTTGTCGAAATTTACATAGATCACTCACATAGAAAGCCTTTTAAAATTGTGTTCATTTCAAAATCGTCATTTTTAGCTATGAAAATTGAAGTAAATGTATACGAGCTTGGCTTGAAATATATCTTATAGTAAGAAAATGATGAAAGCAAACAAAAAAAAAGAAACAGAATTCTTCTTCTCTTTAGTTGAATTTTAGATAATAGTATATACTATTTTACTTAGAATTTTTGATAATTGTTTACAATTGAACGCTTCCAGTTTTTTTTGTTTTCATTCCATTGAATTTGAACTGAAATAAATTCGACTGTTGCGTTAGTATATGCAGATGTAATACCAATTAAATTTATGTTGGCATAAATAACCGGGTAAAACGTGAAAGATATAAACAAATCGATTTCATATATAGTGCCTTAAGATAGAGCAGCAGTGAATCACAATAAAAAAAAAAACGTAGTGCGATCACATTTAGGGTGATTTATTTACAATTACCTTATTTATAATGACGATTTTGTGTAGGCATATAACACATGTTAAGTAGTAAAAAAAAAACCATTCATAATTTTCATTCAACTGTTATCATTCGCTGCAAATAAAATCACATCAATTTTGAATTTTCATGGGCTGACCCATTTATATCTATCTCTGCAATCCGAAATCAAGCAAAAGTTTCCAATCTATGTATTATTCACAATCAAAACTACTGATTCAGGAAAGTGACATTTTGTTGAATTTTTCTGCATAGCATAGAAATATGGTGACACCTTTATTATGAGATAAAAATCAAAAAATCACTTTCCACCCTTTATCTTCTCGTCATTTTCTATTACCTTCTTCTAAGCCTAACTCGGCTAATCTTCTACGCAATTTTAATTTGTGTTGACAATCATCAAAATCACGAACTCGCTCTTTATCTATAGAAAATACGAAAAATGTGGCATGGGAGTGCCTCTTTGTCGATTTTGAACCAACACATAAAAAACACGTATACAAAAAACATGAGCATCAACAGAAAGCACTACATGGAAAACAACCACAAATCGACTTTTACTCATCAATTAAAGAAAATCAAACATAAATATTGTATGTTTTTGGATTAAATATTATTGTGGAATTGGTTTGGAATTGCTTGTACATACATATTCTGCTGTCTAAATATTCCTGTACAATATCTGTTTTATTTCTGTATTGTATTTTTGGACTTGTTTATAATATTATCTCATTTCATTATTGTATGTATAGAGGAGAACAGGTTCTCAGTTCTTGGCTTCTTTCTTTTTTGCACATCAATAATTAAAAGACGACAGAAAGTATAAAATAAGAATTACAAAAGTCGTTTTTTAACTTTCTTCCGCAATCTCAGTGGATCATTAAGGGAATTCCATTGTGTTTTGTCGTCTTTAGAAGTAATTTCAACATACAATTAAAGCGTCTCTTAAAACTTTATATTCATATAACCAAAATCTTCCTCCTCGTACATACATAAGATGCAAGTCTCACAGTTATTAGTTTCGTTTGATAAGCCTCACTGACGTCTCTGCTATTCGAAAAGAATACAAAACTATGTCAGTTACTGATTACAATGTATAAAGTTTAAAATGCGCAACAAATTGAGCAGACGGGAAAGAAAAATTAAAATTCTCATTTATTCATTTCCTCTCCTTACATCGACCGCATTTATTTTCAATAGATAATAATGATTTCGGAAAATTTATCAATTTCCTATTCAAAACTTCCAAACTCTAAAAAAAACTACAACTTAAGATTAATAAAAAATATATATATACAAATAAATACACTCAATCTCATAAAATAATTCTTCCGTCTCTCATTCGATCAAAAACATGCTATTTACAGATGGTGAATCAATCATTTTAGTTTCTTACATATTTATCTGCACAATTATGTGTTATGGTTAATGTTGATATAAACGATATGAAATTAAATGGTTGGACTCACATTTTATTTATTTCATAAAATCTTCCACTTTAATTTAGTTGAAAACATTGAATATTGTACGAAGTGCATAGAGGCATATTTTCCATTACTCAAAAACTGAACATAATAGTATATATGTTAATATTGAATTACAAAAAACGAATAGTTACGCATGTGTAATATCAATTCACTATAATTTTCTTCCAATCTGTTTTTCACCATGTTTTCGTACATTTGTAGCAAAAAAAAAATCAAATTTAAACTTAAATAATTTGCACCCACCCCCAATGTCCTTGTTGAGAGTTTTCTTTTCACACTCAATTCATTAAGTTCATTTAGTTTCGGAAATGTAATGAAAGCAATTATTTTATGCAACAACAAACAAAAGAAGAGAAACGAGAAAAATATTGTTAACAAAAAGAAACATTTCCATTGAGATTAAAAGAGTCAATTTTTATATATGTCTAGGAGAGAGATAGCAAATCAAAAAGTTCAATTAAATACAATTATTTAATATGTGTTAAATTATAAATGACGATCAAATAAAGAATAAACTTCATAAATCAAATAAAAACATATTTTGTCCATCGAATATTTTATAATAATTCTACATACATACACACACACACACACAACAACAACAAATAAGACAAGGGTATATTCTTTTCTGTTCTAGCACGAAATTCTTTTTTAATTGTATATTGATGAATTGTGTCCTTTTTTATTTACTTTTTCTTCACCTTTTTTTTCCAAAGAAACAAAAAAAACACACCTTATCTCTTTAAGCCCAACACTATGTTCTCTATTTATTCAGTATGTATTTGTTTGATTAACTTTTTCATTCTTTTATGAACTTTCTTTATTATTAATTTAAGAAGTTTATTTCAAATGCAAGTGCTGCACCAGAGTGTATTTAATATTTAACTATAGTGAATGTGTGTTGTGTATTTTCTTTTTACGTTTCCTATTTCATGTTTTTTTCGTTTTTAAATTCTTGTTCAGTTTCTTTTGTGTAAGTTCAAACACCGAGTTCGAAATATGTATACTTTGGTTTTCAATTGTTTTACGAATTTTTACAATTTCGATGCGAAATCGAAACAATTTTTTTATAAATAAAAAAAAAAAAAATAATGACTTAAAACTGTTTTTTTGGTCAATGTTCAACAATTTTAACTCATTTTATGTGTGTTATTATCGTGTAATAACTGCACTGTGAACAAATAAATAGCCGGTTTTGAGAAGTATATAGACCAATGTTTTGGGTTTTGGTTTTTTCCGTTTTGTGTTGTAATCAATATATTTGATCAAACTGTTTTATGTGTAAAGAGATTTTGTTTAGAAGTTCGTTTTTCTGCCGAAATTTTTTCTTTATTGTTTGTACATTAGAATAGAGATTAGAGCACGGGACACGAAAAAAAAGATATTTAAATGACTTGGAGATAAAAGTACAATTGTAATCGGAATAACGTGCTATAGTGAATATTTTTGGCTTCAAACTCTCTATGTTCAGGACATTATGAATAAAATGTGCAGGCATCGTATGCACTATTCACGCTTTTGTGCATTGTCGACGGAGTCTCCCCAAACACATATTTGCGAAAGAGAGAGAGAGAGACTTGAAAAACTAAAAGTCATAAAAAATAACGATAAATACTACAATTTTCATATTAGATTTGTATGAATGTGCCTTCAAAATTCTTTGATTTAGATTTTCGATCTAATTTTTCCGACATTGTTTATTCATTCTCTCTTTTGTTTGTGTTGGGTGTAGTCTCTTCTTTCGTATTCAACTCTGTATTGAATAGTATAAAGTTCGCACAAGGTGATCATCCCAATCCCAATCCTCATCTCGCGTTGGAGATTTTAGTTTTAAAACGTGTTTCATCACAAATCCGTTATCCAATCCAATCCATCCAAATCAGAGAAAGGTACAAATGTGCAAGTGTGTGTGTAATTTTATTGTTTTTTAGTCAGTTTTGGGAATCAAAGCGAACTCCACGTGTGCAAGCAAATCTGTGCATTTAGAAAGTTAAATAACCAAACGAGAACACAACTCTTTCATTTTTGTTCACAATTTCAAAAGCATCAAGCCCATTCATCTATATATATATATCGTATTTGTTGCCAACAATAAAAATGATTTAATGAATCGCACCGTCAGCTCGCACTTATCGGCAGTTGCTATGAGCAGGAGCAGAAGGTGATATTTGTTGAATCGTTTTCATTCTTAGCGCTACTAATATTCATTGGCAACTTATGTTTCGTGAATAATCCACTCAAAGCCAATAATATGTTTGAGAATTTGTAATTTATTTTGCAAAACACAATGTGTGTGTATAGACATAGATACAATGTAGGTGTCGTTGTTGCGCATATTAAATTCGCTTAGAAAGCCAGTGTGTTTTTTAGTGAGTAAAATTTTGAGTTTTCTTTTATTTTGATTTTCTCATCTAAAAAATTCCGTTCTTTTTTTATTTCATTCTTCATTCAATTCGGAACCGAAACGATTTGTTTTCTCTTGGATTGATTTTGGTGCGAAAATATCAAAATATTTGTATGCATATTCAAACATTTTGGAATGTGAATACGAACAACCAAACAAAATTTCGATGCGATTTTAATACAATTGGTGATATCACAAACACAAAAAAAAAAATTACCCATAATACCAAACGAACAAACAATTTAATCGGCGAAAACAAAAAAACAAAACTGAACTATTCAAAAATCAAAACAACCATCAAAATTGAAAAACCAAAACCGAAACGATTGAAATGTACCATTCAAACCGTTTGGTAACATTTAAAACTTGTCTACAAAACTCGAATAAAAAAATATACACAAAATAAAAAAATTAAAAAAAAAATAAATGAGAAAAGAAAAGAGTGAAAGACGCAAAAAAACAATATCAAATTGGCAACGGTTAACTTACGCGCTTCGGGGATTGCCTACAGGACACAACATTTCACATGGGGATGGTAACAGTTCAGATGGTGGCGATTCAATTGATAACCGTAATCCATCTAGCACTGGATTTGGATGCTATAAAAACTATGAACACCAATCGGTATTACGCAACAGAGACCATTTATCACCGCAGGTACACTCATAACATCCAAATGTCATATTTTTTTTTTGTTTTGCGATATCAACATTTCGAAGCTTTTGAGTTGTAAAAAAAGAGTCGAGTGCTATTTATAACGTATGACTTTTGTCGCTCAGGACCGACAGATAAATTTCATCACGCAAAGCTGTCGTTTCCGAGCGACAAACATTAACTCGGAGCATATAAAATCTGATTTGCATCGGATTTCCATCGCATATTTGTTACACTCGTTTCCAATTGATAAATTAAATTATATTTTCATAATGTTTTTTCTCTTTTTTTTTCTCTCTCGTTAATATCAAAACGATATTTGCAGACATCAATTAATGAACTTGATGGTTATGATGAATTGACAACACAAGCTCTGTTCCCTGGTTTCCAGCAACGAGATCGACAACCCCTTCCGGCCATTTTGCCACCACAAGATGATGTTTATCAAGATGCTGACGAAAGTCAACCGCTTACATCAGAATCTCAACAAGATACACCACAGCACATGGCCAACCAAATGATGGTTACTCCAGCTGTAAGTAAACTTTATTTTAACAAAACAAATCACATTTTATTTGGAAAAAAACAACTGTTATCTTTCTTTTCCCTGTTTCATTCTTGACCTACACATACATCAAGTTAAATGAAAAAAATAAAATCACCGAGCGCAAATACTCCATTTCCTTTTTCTTTCCTCACACTATACTATGTATCTAGACCTATCTTTTGGTCTAAGAGTATGTATGTATGTTTGTGTGTTTATTTTTTTTTCTTCAACTTTTTTTCAGTCAGTTCAATTTTCAATAACAAACTCTAATAATCTTTGTGTTGTATCTCTTCTCTATGCACACACAGTATATAAGAGTATACATAGAGTGATAAATGCGTTTATGTTATTCATGTTCTATGGTTTTTTTTATTTGCTGCGTTACAAGTTGATACTCTTTCGATACCTATTCTTCTTTGCTTACCACAACGTAGTCCACTGTATAAGCAATTCCAAGGAGAAAGCTATTATACAAACTGAAGAACGATTGAGTTGTTGAGAATCAATGTGGGAATTGCCGAAATCGTGCTATCACACTCATATTTGGACGAAGACACTTCTTAGCTATTTCTTCTCTGGAAGTTACTATATTTGTTTTATTTATATAGACCTTTTGCATTCTTGTATAGAAACGTCGATTGACTTCAGCAAAATATATGTAATATTTGGTTTTTTTTTTATTTATTAGTTTAAGATTCGGACAAATTTTCCGATCGTTATTCTTGATAGCTTTTTTATATTCATATATGAGTTTGAAAGCGTGGGTTTGGTTGTTTCCACTGAATTATATAGTATTTTTGTTTGTTTATTTGATGAATTGCATTGTAGTAGTGTTTCTCCAGATATTTCACTTTAGTCACATTGAATTCTTGAAGACTAGACAATATGGATATTGCCATCCAGATACTTCAGCTCATCTGGCTGACGTTTTGCATTGAAATGGAGTTTCTGTTGTTGCTATAGTGATAGTTATAGGTATAAAACGACTCCCATCACTATAAAAATAACTTCTATTGTTGTCGCTCCATTTCAGCGCCTGACTTCAGCCAGTTGAGGTGAAGTACCTGTATGAAAATAACCAAATATATTGTCTGTTGAAGACAAATGAAACATTAAATAATGAGATCTAAACGTGAATTCATTCACTAATGTGATTTTAAGCTTTTGTCACGTTATGTACGTTTTCAAACTTTTCGTTTCCAATTCAACAAATATCGTGCACTAATTAAGCAAGATTGAATAATGGACCAAGATTGCCAGCCCTCTATCTCCTTCTTATTTATCGTGCTATGAATTTCAAATAGTTCATCTTTTGGTTTTCTCGTGAAGAAATTCTCTTAAGATTTTGAATCTTAATATTGTGCGAAGGAATTTTAATATTTACAATTTTTTAAATTATAATTGAACACTTCGAATCATCAGAAATTTGTTCCAAGTATATACGCTTGTTCAAATATTATATGAAAAGGGCACACAGTCAACGACACATGCACCGTTGACAACACTCACATGAATACCATTTCCGGTATGCATTTCAGGAGTTTTTCAATCGTTGTCCCAGTGATTGGTTTTTATCCGATATACGTACAGAAAAGAAAATATCGTCCAATAAATTTTGAGTGGTGCTACAAAAAGGAGGAATATGTCTTTCACCAAAAAAGATATTTTTGTGATAAAAATTGCTTTTTGACAAAAGAAAAACTCACCATTCCTCCTCCTCAGAGGAAAAATCCTTAGTTTATTGACTTAAATCGCATTTATACGGTATCTGATCAAACTGGATAAACTTTATTATATAATAAAATTTTGTTGGATAATTTATCCATCTGCTGTTTTAGTTTGTCTTTCAATTTGAATATTAATTCGGTAATTATCTTTTTTAAATGTTGACGTTAATTCGTAGATATATCCTATAATGTAATGACACACATACACATAACACACATACACACACATACATTTTATACATAAAACCGTGCCGCAACCCCACAATCCAGTACACATTTTTAATTCCCAAAAAGAAATTCGAAACAAAAACAAAAATTGGAAACTGTATTACATCAGATGCATAGTAAAGCAACCAATACACTAGATTAGATTTGCAATAGAAATCTTCCTTTTTTTTTGTACATTTGCGGCTGATGATTTATACAAAGTGTATTTTTACTTACGATTCGTTCAATTTAGTTTCTACAATCGAGGACTATTGAGGTATCGTTGAATTAACTCTATTAGATTCTTTCGTTCATTTGTTTATCCATTTTTTTTCATCGTTTCATATTCCGCTGATTGATTTTGACGAGGAAAAAAAAGAATGAGTCCACATTTCTTTGTTTCTTACCTATATATCTATATATTTGAATTCTATCGAAACGATTGACGTTTTAAACAAAAACAAACCAAGAAACAAATAAACTAACCGTTTGAACTGATAGTTTCAGCTATTTTTTTCCTTAGAGATAGACACATTTTTAGATCTTTTCGAGCACGTGGTTTGTTAATCCAATTACTCTTTAGTCTTTGAATGCTAATTTATGCATACATTGCATTTTTATTATTCTGAATTTGTGTATAAACAATAATGAAGATCTTCGAAGGATACATACATAATATTTATATACAAGCAGTGAAACTTCGACGAATACGGCAGTTCCGGATTGGCTAATGTGCCTAAATTATGATGGTGTCAAAAGAATTTTTTTTTCCCCATAAAATACACTGAAGGAGTTTCACTGTGGCATGTGTTTTTTTTTCCTCATCTTCCTTGCTCTCTCGTTTGTGTTTAACTTGATTTCAAAGCCATTTTCATCCTGTTCTATTTTCTTTACACTCTGACTCTTGATAAAAGCAGTTGTTCGATATTGCCTTTATTTCATCCGAATGTAATCATATTGTTTCTTTTCTTTCGTTTTAAATATGGGTAATGCAAAATGGAAAATGTTCATCTTCTATGTGATAGCTCTTGACTTTACATTTAAAAAAAGCAATTGCAACATAATTCATATAAAACGGTCGATTCTCTCAAATATTGTAATACTATATAGGCTAAATAGATTTTTCATTTGCAGTTTCGCTTTTAGTATGATAGTTTTGGGCTGGGATATAGTCCGACATTTAGCCGAAGTAGTGCATCTGTGACATGATATGCATATTTCAATTTTATCAAATGATTTTTATATGCACTCAGCGAATAATGAACATTTAAGCAATCCGACTGGTTTAAAGTTGATCAAATCGTCGGAATACATAAAAACAATAGAATAAACGATTACATTAAAACAACATCATGCAGTTCGCATACGTAGTGCGCTGTTGTTTCAATATTCGATGCACAGCTTTATTCCACTCCCACTCACAAAAATGAAAAGTCTCAAGCAGCTCATCAAAAAGCTACAAGATAGTAAAACTATTTTGTCATTGTTATTGAACAAGTCTTGACAACCAAATAACGAACCAAGGACGAGTAAAGGGTGACCAATTGTTATCATATAAAAAATAATTAGAAGAAATGAGATTAACGCAAATCTTAAATAATGTCCCACGAAAGATTTGTGTTAATTGAACGCAAAACATGTATATTTGGGTGGTGTGAATTCATGTACTCCAAAGCATATACCATAAAAGAGCTGTTTGAATTTTTTGTTTTTGTGATAAATTTCGTTTTGTTTGCCCAGAGCTGAGAAAAGTATTATCTTTATGCTCGAAAATGACGTTTTTACTGTTCGAATGGGCACATCTGTTTTATTTTCATTTCATTTATTTCTAATTCAATAACACTGTACTGTACATGCATTTTCGCATTTATAAAAGATTTGACATCGATTCAGTGCGTTGGATATTCGCACTGGATGCTGATGGAAATCATCTAAAACTATATAATATCAATCTAATAAGAAACAACTTCAGCAACAATATAAAAAAGAAATCATATTCGCTTGGCTCCATTTGTATGAGTTTATTTTGCTATTGTGCTTTGAATTAATTCATCTACAATGTGCAAAATAATGTTAGCCGCCCTTCTATTTCTACACTTTTATACGATTAAAAAATGATACTGTTTTGATTTGAATCGTTTAGAACAAAATCTAAACGTCAATATCTCACGGAGAATGGTACGTTTCACTATAAATTGTTAGTGTTGAAATGATTTTTCGCAACAAAAAAAAATAAAGATTTCATATTATTTGAAATCTGTGAACGCTCAAATATTAGAAGGATTGGTATGGCCTGCGGCTAAAATTATTTGCTCAATGTATGATTTGTTCGACTACTATAATAAATGCATCTCTATCTTTGGGTTTTCAATATTTTTCTGTTATTTTGTGATACCATTCACCCCCCTCGTTTCGATGTTGATAAAACGATGTGCGGTACGGATGAACAGCAAGTGGCAGAGCTCCGGAGGCAAATCGCAATCGAACACGCGGCAAAACATAAACGGGAAAAGGTTGATAGTGATGTTCCAACTGAATTTGAATGTTGTTTTTGCACCACAAAGGTATGTGCAAGCTATTCATCGATTAATTTGCTTAATAACTGGCAATAACATACCAAAAAAAAAACTACTTTTTTTTTGTTTATATGGAATGAACCAAGTCCGTTTCCTTTTTTTTATTCCATTTTAATCATCATTTATCCATTCTTATGAATTGCCTTTTTTTACCCATATCCATATAATAAATGTTGGCATAAAACATCATAACCAGTTATTTACTCTGTGTATTGCTTGAAACATCTGTTTACTCTTTATGTTTGTTTTTATATTTCTTGTAATGATATCCCTTGTGACAAAAAAAAAACACAATTAGTTGAGTGAGTAAAATTTAGTCTTTTTAAAAAATTGTCAGTTGACTATTTAAAGGCCAAATGGTAAATGTTTTGACACTCAGTTAGTCGATTTGTGTGACTATGTGATTAATACCTAGTTGATATTAATCGATTCTAGACTGTGTGATTTTAATCGGCTTAAAGGATAATCCTTTAAGGATTAAGACACTCAATCTGTAGTCACTCAAAACTGTCTGCATGTCATGACATTTTTGTGTAGCTTTGCCGAAAAATAGTCGACCAACCACATTTGATATAAAATTTGCACAAGGGGTTATACGTATGTCTACATGTCGTAAAATTGCATTGTATCTCGTAAAATGTTCATATTTAAGTGTCATTTAATTCGTTCGACAGTTGCAATTCGATTGTGATATCGATCCTTGGCTGTTTTACAAAACACCTTTTGGCCGCGTCGCTTTTTGTAGGTTATTTGATTTTTTTTTTTCGTTTTTATAAGATGTTGCTACTATCTGTAACTATCAATATAAATAATGGTGATACCGAAAAGAATCTAAACTTACAACAAACTGAAGCAAAACCATATTTGAGACTAAATATTTTCATGGCTGAAATGAACAAAAAAATTAACATTAACGAACTAACCTTTTAAAATTGAAATAATGTTTAAGCTGTGTAATTGTCTTTGTGTGTGAGTTTTTTTTAGTTTAGTATTGTGAACGTCCCTCGAAGACTCGAATTTTGCTAACATTTTGTCTGTGTTCATTCTATTGTTTTTTGATTTTGTTACGCGGGTGAGATGTTTTTATTGTTATAATTTTGGTTTTTTGATGCTTTTCCTAATATATCTGAACATTTGATTTTATGTGTTTTTTTTTTCTTTTGATATGATTTTTATTTTAAGTTCATTTTTTTTTATTCTCATCCACTTTTTGTTGATGAATTGAACTTGTTTTCTCTTTTTTTTGGTGATTTTCATTCTGAAATAATTTCTAGGGACCGAACGGATGTAATGGTGAATGTATTCCTTTGCGATCGAAAAGTGTTTAGGAAAACATTTCAATGGCGTTTAAAACAAAAAACAAAACCAAAGTATAAAATAATGTTGTTCTTCATTTTTGAATTGAAAACCAAACCGAAAACCAAACAAATTTTGTTCACTTTTTTTGATGTCAATAGACAAACTAAAACAATGACGAAAACACAAAAAAAAAAAGAAAAGAAATTAGGTAATCGAAATATGCTGTTGAAAGACTTCGGGATTTACTGATTTGAAGAGCAAGAAAGGGGATTTAATTCATTGTTGAAAAAAATAAATTATATATATTGAACGTTCGTCAGTAAAAACAAATGTGTAAAGACAGTGTGCGCGCCGAATTTCAAATTCACAATCACGTTTCCACACACATAATATGAAAAACATAAAAAAGAAAACGAACAAATTACCGCAGCATTAAACTCGATTGTTTATGATTTTATCGAAAATTGAATTTATGTGAAGAGCAACGCATTGAACAAACGTTGTGTATTTTGTCTATCCACTACTTATGTGCGTTATGATTGGTGATAGGTGAGTTTCCAAATACAAAACAACAACAAAACAAATTACGAAAACCGTTTTTGTAATTGTGCTTATAATCCCAAATGCTAAAAAAACCTACAAAAATGCTGTCTTATATTCATGCTGTTTTTTTGGCAAACCAAAAAAATAACATCAAATCCACCACATAAATTGTTTGCTTTGGAATTTTCGTTCAAACTAAATTGACTAATTCAAAACATTTTTAATTCTGAATTGAGAAAATTGGCCAGCATTCACACATAACATTCATTTGAAAGCTGATAAATTTTCAAACAAAAAAAAATTCCACATTAACCGCAATCAATACGAACAATAGAAATTTCCCTCAACTTTTAAAATTTTCTCATAAAAACACGTTTGAAATGCACACCACATTTTTTCGTGGACTCACATATATTTGACTTTGTGTGTTTTTCTTTTTTGGGCTATAGTTGAAGTGCGCGTGTGAGTCATGAATGAAATCAATAGCTTTTCTATGCATACACGTAATTTTAACACCTATTGCATTTGGATAAAAACGAAGAATTTTTAAAGAAAACAAAAAAAAATGCAAAGGGAACGTCAATTTCCCGATAGAATAATTCTGGTAAAATTGAAAGTGTATAGCCAGAAGCTTATATGAATTTAATTGCATTTAAAAAGTTTGATGCACTTTCTGCGGCCATTATTTGAAATCGCAAAAAACCATTAATTAGACGCATTGTGCAAGGGGTTCACGTAGATTATTTCATTCAATTTTTATTGATAACAAATTGGCTGCATGTTATAAAAAAAATTTGCCCTATATTTCGTTCCACTTTTGTTTAAATCATTCGAACTTGCATTGCGAAGATTAGAAAACCACACGAGTAGAAATCAATCGGCAAAACGCTCTACCACCATTTAAATTATGTATCAATGAATTATTTGACGCTTACAAACTGAAATTAAATTCGTATCTCCTTTTCTTTTGAAACAATAAAACTATAAATTCGTTGTTTTTAGAAGTAATTATCGGCACCTCAAATCGATATCGCATTTCCAAAGCAATTCAACTTTTTCATTTGATTTCTGTTGTATCAATACAATTCGCCACCATTGCCATTCATTTTAATAAAAAAAAATTATCCGACTCTATTTGTATATATAGTTAGTGTTAAAACCAATTTACCATATTAAGTGGTTTTTTTTGTTCCTTCATGTAGCTGCAAACATTATTCGCGAAATGAAATGATAATAATGCACTTCCAAAACTATGCATGCACACAATTTGCTTCATTTGTTTTCACTCATTTCAATCTTTTTCTCTTTTTAGCTCATATAAATATATATGTGTTCTATTTCTTATTTAATTTGGTACATTGTTTTCTTCTTGGAGATACTAAATCTCCAGCAACACTTGTGTGATTGCTATAAATGCAATTGTTTTAGATTGTGACAGTGTGATATATTTACATGGAGGTTCCAACGAATGTTATACATTATTAGGATTCGTTGAGCCAATTTCCTTTTATATGAATTATTAATTTTGTGTTTTGTGCGATGGTGGTCATGTTTTCAGGATTTAAAAGAGTATACGGATGCTGAGGGACTGATGTCGTTGCCCACATCAGACTTTCACAAGCCAACGGTTTGTGCTGGTCGTTACAAATACAGTTTACCAAGTGGTGATGTAAACACAATGGAACGATGTATAGCAGCCGCATCTGTGACGAGCGGTACAATGCTAAAATCCAGTATACCACGCGACGTAAATGATTTTAGTACAATTACATTGCCGATTGAGACACCACTTTATTTGACGAGTGCCGACAACAGAAGTAGCAGAAACAATCATCATGGAAAAGCAAGTTTGCATAACAGCGGTGATTTGGCCAGCGTTGATAGCTCGGATACATATGCATCATGTCAAACGCATCCATTTTTATCACAAGGTGATCTAACGGGCGAAATGGCTGATATCACTTGCACTCTGGCCGAATTGGATGTCGATGATTTATATTTCACATCATTGGATAAAGATTGTCCGTCGACCGGTGGTGGTGGTGGTGGTGGTGGTGATGGTAAAATTAAATCAAAAGTAAAGAAAAGCGCTTCAGGTGATGCATCGTTGCTTAGTTTAGGCGCTTGTGTACCTATGGAAGAAGTTATGGTAAATATCTGAACAATAAATTTTCATTCAAACTTATTTAATTAATTCTTGATAAACTCAGCAATACAAAAATGTTCATATTTAATTTTTAATTGTGCTACATCGCACGTCCATTCTTTATTTTGCTAATATCCATAGAAAACTTTTCAATCATTTGAAATGGCATCAAGAGTTGATCGAGGTAGTCATATTAGTTTGAATGACCCACCAATTCCAAAGCATCGAAAAACTCGATTTCAGCAAAGTAGCTTGAACAAAGGAAAAGTCAAAGGTATTTCGGATGTATTGCCATCGAAAAAGCATTCATACGACAGTCTAGATGATCAACCAACAACGTCCGTATCAAATCCTGGCTCGGTGAAAAAAATACGCCGATCATCGTTTATGCCAACGAAAAGTTTGGCCTCGGCGACAAAACTTATTAATCAACATTTATTCGGCATCCAAAGTGCCAATTCGAAAGGTACTTATCGATAGGAATGGAACAAAAAGACAACGTCTATGATTTTGTTTTTGTCATTGTTTTCAGGTAAATCACCAGACAAGTCTCTATCACAAGATTCAACGGAGAGTACTCCAAGTGTTGAAACACATCGACGATCAAAATCAATTTTAAAAAATAAATCCGAATCATCGGTAAGTGATATATGTCAATGAGATATAATAAATCAATTTTTATTGTTAATTTTCTGATTTTATGATTGCAGAAGGGATCAGTTGACCCGGAAAGTGAGCGACTATTATCCGATAATGCTTCGGGTGCAGCAGTTTCGGAAAATGGTTCGGTAAGTAAAAAAAAACGAAACGAAATCATTTTGGGCGAAATTATTTGAAATGATTCTTTTTTTCATCCACAAAGGGTGACATAAGCAGTGATTATTCGCCGAATAAAATTTCAAATCCATTAGCCGCAAAATCCGTTTCACCACCATTGGCACATCGTGCAATTGTACAGCAACAACGATCCCAAACATCAACAAGTAAATTAGCTAAATATCAAGTGCCGAGATATACGGAAGAAGTTGTTCTACGGCAACAATCTGGCAGCCATAAACCGATCCTACAACGAAGTTCAGTTTCATACACCGAAGAAAGTAAAAAGAAAGAGAATAATAATATTAACGGTAATTTCACCAACAATTCATCAATATAAATCGTTTTCTATTCATTTATTTATGTAAAATTTCGATAGAAAAAGAAACGACATTCGTAACAGTAACATCATCATCATCATTAACGAAAAACAGCACTACTGAATCCAATTGTACAACCAGCGATAGTAAGTCGAAATTGCTGAATCGAAACAGTAGCTCGGTGGACAGTGGCAATGGACTTGGTTGCAGTTCATCTTCTTAACCGCACATTCACACACATAAACAGCGAATAATGATTCAAATCAAAACATATATCTGCTAAAGCGTAAAACTTAAAAGAAAAACCTGCCAGTACGGAGAAATTTTGTTTAAATTGAACAATTTTTCGGTTTGAACATCAAATTCTTGACAATTTCATCCAAAAATATAACACTGAGAATAGCGTTCATATTATTTTTATAAATCATGACAACTATATCCATAAAATGTAACATTTCACGTGGAATGAGCCAGCCAACAGTGAAAAGACAAATACATCAACAAAAAATCATGTGTAGATAGCCAGAAGTTGTCACAAAAATTAACAAAATATTGACACAAAACGGACATTTCTTCAAATCTCAGCATTAAAATCGAACAGAATACACTGTTGAAAAAACACCATGCCAGGTGTCCATATGTAGAAGAAATAATCAATTTGATCGTGTTGGAAAATGGCCGTATATTCAAAACGTACAAATAAACGAATTCCTCACACGAACAAATGAGAAAATACTGCCACTTGTTAATATCGGCAGAAAAAAACAATTGTAATAATTATGAAAAATGACATGAAATGATATAATTGTAAAAATTCTATTTAAGTTATGCATGCGTACTGATTAAATTAAATTAATTAGTTTATTTATTTAAGAAGAATGTTACAAAAGAAAACAAAGTTTCAGTCCAAAGCAATAAATTATTCAATGAATTTTATCATTTACCACTGAGCAGAATTCACGTTACCATAATAGAAAATCAAATGAAAATGATATAAGATATTTCCAACATTGAAAACTATAAAACTATTGACATTTGAACCAAAACTGTTTGAATTCGAGTATATTTTTGGTATGTCATGGCTGTAGAATTTAGTAAATTTATTTAACAAAAAAGCAAACGATAAAAATGTGAAAGGTCATATGAAATTTAATGCGATTATTGCGAGTTATTTAAAATGTTTGTTTAATGCTGCTACTATTTAAAATAAAAAAAAAGAAACAAGTAAATGTATCATCAGATACATGACATAAACATAAATTTCAATTAGGAGAATTAGAAAAATACCACATACATACTGAAAGATACGAGGACAAACCAGAACACAAAATCAAGTATAGTATGCATAAGATTGTAATAAGTTGTAAAATTATTTTTCATCTCACCAAGTCAAGTTAAATTTTTCATTTTAAGTTTAAGAAAAACGAATTAATTATAAATGACAAACCAAACAACAACAACAAAGAAATAAAAAATACATTATAATGTGATTTTAAAATAAGTGTGAAACGTGATTTTTCCGTATGATAACGTATATAAAAAAATAACACGAAACAACAACAATAACATTAAAAAAAAAAACTGCAATTCTAATCAATTATAAATATACCTGGATTTCACTAATCGCATCTTCTCGCATCGCGCCCCCCCACACACATACACGCATTTGCTTTACAACAGCGGTTTACGTTTCTCCTTTTAAATCGATCATCACTAATTTCGATCATCACAAGTCGCTCATGGCACAAATGTTTACCTTATCCGATAAAACGATGGTGTGACTGAATCAACCTGTATCTTAGAACGTTCGAAAACCCAATTATCCAAAACTACTTCGATTATGTAGGAACATACATGTTGATATGGCATCTTTATGTTACCTTTTTTCATTCCATTCTTTAACATAGAAAAACCAACGTGTCGCACCAACAAACGAATCATAAATGAGAAAAATGGAAAATTTTGATTTCCACACTTCTAATCGTCAAATAGTAATAATCGTAACAATAGTATGCATACTGATTGTGTTGAACATCAAATAAATATAAATGCGAATTAAGACAAACAAAAAATACATAAATTGAACAAATGATACATCATAAATTAGTTAACGTGAAATGCTATTTTGTAGTTTGTGTAGACTTTTCAATGTTGTTTCAAGCACTCACACACGCACACCTCAGTCATAAGATTCACTACGCCTCTGACCATTTTTTATAATAGTCAAATTTCGTTTACCCATCTTTCCCATGTCTTCACACTGTATGATATTACTACTTCTCTCTTATTGTTTATCATAAACGATATCAAAAAGTCTAAATTAAAGAAAAAAATAGCCCAATTCTTTTTTGTTCCACACACCATTGCAAAACAATATTCAAAAAAACTGTATAAAATCGATAAACAAATTATTATAAATTTCAACCCAAATCGATCATTGTAGATACAACAAAATGAGAATGCCGTGAAATAAATGGCAAAATATTTTAGATCATCACCAGCTGAACATGAAGTCCCAAAATATATATTTAAGATAAAACATCATGTACGAAAAATATTTACGACAAATCAAAAAAACACTAGAAAATTGCTAAAGTAAAATAAAACAATTTTCCAATCTTAAAAAAAGAGGAAAATTGAACACTTTCCTCTTCGAACAAAAATAATGACCAGGAAACTCTAAAATCCTTAGCAAATTGAAATAATTTCCTGTCTGTCAAAATATTCAAAGTTAGAGGGAATATTTTTTTTTTGCTGTAAAAACGGCCAAAATATTGATTGAAATAATTTGCTTCTGTTGCCCTTGTCATCTTTTGGAAGAATGTTTTCATGCTTTCCAGTTAAAACATGAAGTTCCCGACAAAATATGCTTTTTCTCTTTTTTATGAACGTTGCATTTATTTGTTGATCCTATATTTTTCATCTTCGCTATTTTTTATGAAAACATTTAACGAAATATGGCCAAGATAAAAAATGAACCAAAAACGAAAGTTTGATAACATACTTTTGAGATTGGTTTTGCTTATTTATTTACAATAATATCCGTAAAATAGTTCAATTTCAAAAAAACTCGAAATTACTATAAAAATATGCATATTATCGAACGTTCGTCATATTACATCGTTTAGTTGCTTTCAAAAATACATATTTCATAATGGTCAAAGTCAATCATCCCCGCAGTAGTCTCATTTAGAGGTAGAGAAAAGAATAATCAACATTTATAGCATAACTGATAAAAATGAGTAAAACCAATTCAGATAAATTTATAATATTTTTCCGTTTATTTTTGATCGTACTTCATTATATGAGTTTCTAAAAAAATAATTCGCAGGGGTAGCGATACTTTCTTCGACAAGGATGTTTATCATTTCAACAAAACAAAAAAAAAATCTTTAAAAATGACTAGCAAATGAAATTGATGTAATTCAATTATAAAAAGACAAAAAAATGAAACTTGATGTCCGCACATAATCGGCAAGTTTTAAATGTTGTTTAGTTTTCTGCTGACAAACAAAAAAAAATCAATCAGTTGTTTTGAAATGCTTGCACTAAATGACGTAGCTATACACAATCCAAAAGATAGATTTTAGCCTCGAACCGTTCTTATAGAGAGGAACATAACATTAAAACTAGAAAGTTGTGTCTTACAATATTTAAAGAAAAGAAAAAAAAAAACAAAATAAATGTATATTTTAATATACGAACCAAAGGATCAAGTGATGAAAATGTAGATTTCAATATTATAAAACAATTCATGTTTAAAATTGTTTATACCTTGTTCTGAGTCCAACAAACATTTTTCTAGCCCCATCATCTTCACGTGAATACCTATAAATAAATATAAAATAATGTAAAAAGATAAACAAATCAGAAAATTAGTTACATGTGGTTCGCTTCGATACAATCTTCGCAACAAAATAAAAAAAAGTAGGCAATTTGTTTCTATTTTGTTCAAATCTTCATTTCTTTTGTTTCGCATTGTACTTTGCTGGTGCATAGTAAAGTTTACAAACAAATTAAAAACTATTTGCTACTGCGTGTTATAGTTTATAGCTGGCCGTTAAATGCAATCGTGCGATATGAAAATTATTCTTGGTTTTTCTCGCTCAGTTTCTATGTAGGACTCTTTCACTCTCTCCAGCTATAATTTTAAAAATCTGTTTGAGAAAACAGAGAATAATTAACAATTTACAAATTGAGCCACTGAACAATTTTCATGTTGCACAGTAGAATTTACGGCCAGCCCAAGTTTGCTAGTTGACCTTATAAAATGAAATTTATTCAGTGTTTTCTCCATTTGTGTGCGTTATCCCTATTTGACAGTTAGATAAACATATCAAAAGAGTAAGAAAAACACTTCGAAAGAAAAAAAAATCATATGAATTAAGGGAATAAATGAGAATCAAAAACGTTGTTGATACAATAGGGTGTTTCTCATATCTGAAAAATAAAAAAGTGCCTAGTATCAATTTAAAGTACAAACAATTATGTGACAATTGCTGGTATTCACACAATGCATCGATCGACATTAAGACTTCTCGAAGCAAAAAAAAATGGTTGTGACGTCTCGCTACGATGTATGAATGCAATCAGACAGCAAAATAAAACTTATTGAATAAACATCGACAGCGATGTTATTATGCATTGGACATTGAATGATGTTGATTTGAAAATATGTATTGTCATTTTTGAAACTTTACCCATCCTGTATCAGATTTCCCCCACTTTCTCTATAGAAATGAGATTATTTTTCCGACTTGAATTTGTCAAGAAATGTGATTTTCAAAGTTTTTCAATAATTTTTTTTCGATAATATTTGACTGTCCGTCATTTCCAATGAAAAAACTATTTTCACATAAAATAAAAATTGTCTTTCAAAACAAATATGATCGGAACATTACGAACATTTTATTTTCTACTAACGACTGACCACAGATAATTTCGAACGGTCATACAAAATTTAAAAAAAATGTGGATGCGACCGAAGCATAAGACAAAAAATATTATTATTGATAATTCAAAATCGATCAGTTCAAAAAGCAGCAGAAAATTGTCAAATTCATACCACACACGAAAGACGACATTTCAAGCTCGAATTCTGCTCTCTTCGTTTTTCATCTTTTTTTACGGCGATAATTCTAAATACCGAACGATACGCTGTATGAATACCATCGACTGACATAGAATTTTGCGCATTTTAAATTAAAAGTAGGCACTTTACGTTGTTGATATATATTTAAAATTGATAAACTTAGCAAATAATGTAAAGCACCTGCTAAAACATGAAAAAGGATGACAAAAGATACATATGTTCATATGTATCGTTGAGAATGAACATGAATTAAGAGATGTATTGCTTTCTGCTCTCTCCTATAGACATTTCTGTACATGAGAGCTAAAGGTGGGGATCCTTAAGTGAATTTCATTCTCATCTGCACATATATTCAATGTATTAAATTATACACCATATACATGCAACGATCACCAATTTTTGACTACTATCTATTCTGCGATAACGAATTTTTTTTTGAATCATTATCATCGTTTGATTATTTGGTTTCATTTCAGTTTGAGTTCATCATAAATTTTTTCTTCAAACAAAAATTCATTATTTATGATAAATTAGTATCTCTGACTTTAAGCATTAATATAATATGATTTGATCTTAAAAAAAACCCAATTTTTTGTTGAAATTCGTTTCATAGTTGAAAGTAATTGATAAATTGTGTATCGTTTGCTTGAGTTGGAGTAAATAGAAAATAATTATAAAATGATGTTAAATGTCACAAAACTACATCAAAACCAACAATCAATGTTGTACAAAAAGTTAACGTAACAAAAATAAATAATAAACAAAATAAAAAAACCAAAATGTACTGTAATTATTATGAAATAAACATTATTTCGCTAACAATCTGAATTTTGACATCGATCACATTACTAACTAAGCAAATCGCAAATAAAATCAAACAATGAGAAACACGAAGTATCCGAGAATGTTATGCGAACAAACAACAAAATAGATAAATAATCACATCTTCAGCATAAATGAGTGGAATTCATACAAAAAAAACAAACAAACTTACAGATTACATAAATAAACAAATTGATGAAGAAATGAAAAAAAAATGAACTACTATTATTACAAAAAAAAAAGAGATTTGAACAAATAATTAAGATATTTCAAACAAAAAATGGGATGACAAAAAAATGGCTAAAATGTGTTGCTAATTAAAAATGTTAATAAATTTACCGAAGATTTTCATTTTACAAAAATTGAAAAACAAATTTAACCGTTTTTTTAATTTTCGCGCTTTTTTATTTAAATGCTTGCATTTTAATTGCATCGACATCTGTGGTATTTTTAGGTAAGTTTCGAAATCCTAATAACAGATACAGACAAGTTGAATTGTCGATTATAAATCTTTTCACATCACCGTCCATAATTAATATGTGTCGATTTGTGACCCACATTCTATACGTTTTGTGAAAAAGTCGAAAAAATTCTTCAATGAAAAATATAATCGGTCCGAATACATGCTGTAGTACAACGTACATTACAAAGTACGTTATAAGGTTTTCATGACCAAGTTCAGAATGACAGCTGGTGTTGCAATACATACACACTGAATTGAAAACAATGCGTATCCATACACATAATGCGCATACAAATACATGCGCATAGGCTGTCTCTCTGTCATCGAAAGTGTTAACTTCAAAGATGGAGGCCAACAGTAGATAGATGTATTATTTTATTATTATCCCTGATTCAATATCGATCTTCGGCAGAAAATTAAACGATAAAACGCATAAACCAATGTTAACAATAGAAATTTAATAATCGGACACCATAGCGATTCAAATAAAAGTATCAGATTTACCAAAAGTAGAACAAACAAAGCGAAACAGAGACAAAAAAGACTTCTTGTTGCTGTTGTTGTTGTTTATTGAAAATAGTTTTTTCTTCTTAAGATATTACAAAATAATATATATATATATATATACAAATATATGTAGAAAAAGATAAACCAATGTGCTGACTGACTAGTGCAAAACAGTGTGAGATTCAATGAATTTGCCAACAAATCAAGCGACCAGCTTAAAAAGAGAATAGACATTCGTTGGAATTGTGTGTACGGATTGTTTTATTTAGATGTTTCAGTGGGTCTACATGCAGTGGGTCTACATGAATACCAAGGTTTATTGATTTGATTTTAATTTGGTAATATATGTAGATAAAAACATAGCGATTTCATCAAAAATGCATGAATAATGTTATGCATAATATACCAATGGTTCCAATGAATATATCGATATCGTAGTGAATTATTTTGCAATATTGTAAAATACCCAATAGAAGCGCGATTACCTATTTATCTATTCATTCACATTCGCAATACTGGTTGTGTTTGACTTGAAATCATGTTATCTTACCGATTGTAAAGTTAAATTCAATTTTTGAGTATATCTTGATGTTTTACCCATTTATTTGATTTTTTTTGACGCCTTACTCATTTCAACAATATTTATTCAATCAACCGCTTTTTTTGACTCGATGTTACTTTTTCGGTTCTGTTGTGCATTTCAAATATTCATATAGCCGTTTGATAAAACCATAAACAAAATAATAACAACACCAAATTTCTATGCAGTCACTAACTTATTTCTGTTCTTTTTTTTTTTTTTTTCAGAGCGTTGTTTGAATCATAAACGACGGGACGATTGCAAAAATTATGTCTGGTAAAATACCGAGGGGCAATTCACTTAAAAATTGCCTTTCTATTATTGATTAATTCTTATTGATTCTTTTTCGATTATTTTAAATAAATTGTATTCTTTTCTTTTGTGATTTCCCCCTTAGGTAAAATACCAAATATAAAACGTAGAGATCAGAACGCATCATCTTCATCCAATTCGTCTCTGTCTTCATCAGGTGGTGGTGACGCCGTGGGAATGTCAGCTGATCTTGCTTCATTTTTCGAGTGCCCAGTATGTATTTTCATTTTAAATTGATATTTTTAACCAAGAAATGCATAAATGATAACATATTAATGGCCTCCTAAACTTTTGGATCGATTTATTTTTCAGGTTTGTTTTGATTATGTTTTACCACCAATTTTGCAATGCCAAAGTGGTCATTTGGTGTGCTCGAGCTGTCGGTCAAAATTAACCTGCTGTCCAACGTGCCGTGGGTCCCTTGGGAATATTCGGAATCTAGCAATGGAAAAGGTAAGACAACATTTTTTTTGAAATTGGAATTTATTCTCATGTTTTTTCTTCTATCGATTGTAGGTTGCATCGAATGTTAAATTTCCATGCAAGCATGGTTGCCACGCTTCCTTACTATATACAGAAAAAGTTGATCACGAGGAAACGTGTGAAAATCGACCATATTTATGTCCATGCCCTGGTGCCAGTTGCAAATGGCAAGGTTCATTGGAGTTGGTGATGCCACATTTGATGATGTCACACAAAAGTATCACAACGCTACAAGGCGAGGATATCGTATTTTTAGCGACCGACATAAATCTACCAGGTGCCGTCGATTGGGTTATGATGCAGTCATGTTTTGGACATCATTTTATGCTTGTACTGGAAAAACAAGAGAAATATGATGGTCATCAGCAGTTTTTTGCTATCGTTCAATTAATTGGATCGCGAAAGGAAGCGGAAAACTTTGCATATCGTTTAGAATTGAATGGACATCGAAGACGTTTAACGTGGGAAGCGATGCCACGTTCAATACATGAAGGCGTTGCCAGTGCAATTCTTAATTCAGACTGCCTTGTTTTTGATACGTCAATTGCACAGCTATTTGCCGACAATGGTAACCTTGGAATTAATGTGACGATTTCGATTGTTTGAAAGGCATAAAAATTGTGTCTAATGGACACGAGACTAAATTGTGAACAAACTGACGTAAAAGTTGTCATTTAATCGTTTTTTTTTTTTTAAGATCGATTGTGTAAATTATAATACGCATTACATTTCTTCTACACCGTCTTTAGTCTATTTTTCCATTTCTGCTACTGGAAGACAAGACAAGACAAACATTAAAAAAAAGCGAAAAAATTAAATTTACAAAACATACGCATAGAATTTAAATTTATCGAAACAAGTGAAATAAACAAAAAAAAAAATCGTGATGTTAAATTTATTATTGATTTCGAATTTCGTTTTCGAATAAAAAAAAATCAATAAAATGTGAATTGAAATACACCAATGAAATCAATTCGAATGCACTAAATAAAATAGTAACACAAAAATAGAAATGTATTACACACTATATGACAAATAACATCAAATTTAGATAAGAAAAAAAAACATACTTGCAAGCTACCAAAAGGTAGTCCAAACGACTGCTCAGCCAAATAGTGTGTATTCGCATTTCTACATTGATTTCATTTTTTTAAATGTTCTTTTTTAATTAAAAGCTATGATATATACGGATTACTTCATCTAATCTACTACTTAAAGACCTATTTTAAGTGAAAAACAAAAGCAATTTGCACGAGAATCAGTCATCGTCATGGTGGTCATTCATTCTCTCCAAAGAGATTTTTTTTAATTAGAATTCGATTCACGTGCAAAACATACGCGCAATAAAAAAAATACAAACCAATTAGTATCGAATTTTGAAAGCTGCTCCAAGCCCTCTAGTGTGTATCAATTTTTTTTAGACTATACAGCATATTACCCATGTGCTTGTGTTGTTCCTTAAAAAATAAAATTAAAATGCAAACATTCTCATACTTTACTCAATAAAACGCTACATAAAAGACAAAGATAAGTAAACAATCAAAACCATTGTTTTCCAGCATTAAAAAAGAGGAAAATTATAAACAAGAAATAAATAAATATTTTTTTTTCAAAGTTCTCGTTTCACGCACATTCTTATTTATAGCTAAATTGTTAACTGCCCCCAAATGACCGGCAAATCAATCAATCTTTGAACCTCACACGATATAATTCAAGTGATAAGTGATTTGGAATTTATATTTCATTCAAGAACTTATGAGTTCTGGCAAAAGATTCAGGTTTATGCACTAGAGGGTTGAAAGAAAGTTTTGGGTTTTGCAGCGAAATAAAATTTAAAAAAAATGTTGCCGATCAAATAGAAACGAAATAGATAAAAAATCAGTAAACGGTTACTATACCTTACCGGCATTTTTTCTCTTTCTTTTTGTTTTTTTTTTTGTCAATTTCTGAAACACACACTGAAGTTTTGCACTCACGAAACTATTTATTAATTTTAGATATACCTTTTTTATATTTTTTACATTGCACTCATAATGCTTAAACATAATAACGATTTTAAAAAAAGAAATTTGATCGTAAATCAAAATACTCGTCTTTGATTTGTCAACAAAGACGTACTAAGGCGATTTCAAATTTTTAGATAAATGCGAAAGTTAAAATTCGAAACAATGTGTTTTTTTGTTTTCAAACTGCCACTTAGATTGAATTGTTGATAAAAATCCCGACGACTTTAATGTGAATGCAAAATAATAAAATCAAAGGTGAAAAACCACTTTGAAAAAAAAAACATGCATCCAATCAATTTTATTCTCTTTGTGTTTGGTCTTCATAAAATAATAAAAAGTAATTTGTTTTTTAAAAAGCGTTTCTTCGCACAGTCGAAAAATCGTATGGTAATAGATGTAAAAGATGTAAAAACGTATGAGCGCACGTACCAGTCATAGCGTCGGCTGATATTTTCTTTCTGTGTATGTATAATCCAGATTCAACCCGTGTTAAATACAATTTATTTATTTATTTTCCATGAACGAAGAAAAACTCGAACGTTGTTTCATTTGAGCATTTACGGATTTCACACAAGAAGTGTGAGGTAAACTGTCTGCAACGGTGTGTTCTTGTGAAGCATCGTTCTTATTTGTTGAACGAAAAACAAATCCGCCTTTCTGTATTCAATTCAGTCCATTTCAATAGTAGAGTCCCCATGCAACTCCTGGCACATTTTTTCTTAAATTCTTTGAACATTATTTATTAAATTTTTGCTTGATGCGCCGGTAAAAAAATCATATTATGAAATACAAAATGACACATTAAGAAAAAATGTGTCAAAAGTTGCATACCCAATGAGCCATTTCACGTAGGCATAACTGATAGGCCTAACTGTATCATACCAAAAATTGATGTCTCAAAAAAAATCATTGAAATTACGAGACATAACATCAAGGATAAAAAAATGTGCATATATGTCTCTATTTATGCCTAAAATCTATCATTTAGGCTCATTGGGTGGGGGAAAGAAAATGTTCACATTTGATAAAGTCACATTTTTTTGAAGAGCTTGTGTTGAATGGACTTATCTATAAAAAATATAAATGAAAAATGCATTTTTTTAAATTTAAATTTGGTTTTAATAAATAAGCACTTTTAATTCGAATACAATTAATAATTATAATTATTTCATCTTTTTTTTAATTTCAAACAGACATTTTCGATTTCAGTTCAGTTTCACATTAAATCGTTTTGTGTTACATAGTTTTTTTTAGAAAACTTTTCACAAATCTAATTCTTTTCCTACAAACGTTACATTCCATTCTGCCATAATTGATATAATTAATTTACTGAGTAAATTGAGAAAACTGAAACAGAATAATAATAATAAATATAACAAAATTTAATCTTTTTTTCATTTAAAAAAAATAATCCTATTTTCGTCGACTAGATTACATTTCAATACATTTTAATATTGGAATGTCACAACTATGTACAATTGTACAGATATTTAAAAAACACGTTTTATGTGAACTTAATAATCGTAGATATAAAACAGTTTGAGTGGCCTTGATTTAACAGGTGTGTTTGTGTATGGTGCACCAATTCCAATTTAATTTACTATTTCAGTCACTTGTTTAAACTAAAAAAAAGTAAATCTATTGAAGTCGTTTTCTCCGTCACAAACCGAATGAAACAGAATCATCTATACTTAAAAAAAACTGTAAAAATGTTGTCATATGTGCGTTGCGTTATATCAATTTTAATTATACAAAATGTTCGTATGGAAAAAAGGCATGTTACAGTAGTAGTAGTTTTTGATTTGTTTCAATTGCAACTGTCAATTGACCAGCAGAATTTTTCCTTTTTTTCAATCAGTGAAATGTATTCGGCCATCGCTTCACCGCCGTTTTCCACATCGCACAGTGATGCGATTAGTTGTTCCTCATCATCTTCGGTTACAATCGATTCATTATCTATGCTATCATAATAGTGGCCGGATTGTGATGCAGGTCGTTTTATAACAAAACTTTCGTTATTTTTCGATGTGGTTGGCATCTTTTGATCAAATACCATATGATTGTTATTGAAGTAAATCATGGGACTAATGTGCGTTTGTCGTGCATTCAGTTGTTCGTTGCTTTCTTTTGGATATGAATGTGATGCCATTGTGCCGTTCAATTGTTCCCACGTTTTGATAAGATTTGGTTTTACATTTCCAATTAGTCGGCAATCGGTATTTATTGGTTTCGATGTTGTTGCATTTTCATTGTTGCTCTCGAATATATTCAATTTGAATGATCGAAATTTGGGATCGTTGAAATTTTCGGTGTTGATCATTTCATGTTCATATAGTTCCGTTTCGATTTTGTCGCCCTCATCTTTTTCACCGATCAACAATTGTGGATGTCGGTATGCCATATTTACAAATCGTTGCTGAAGCGCTTTCAATGGATTGTATGTTGTCATTGCGGACGGTTGAAATATTGCCGGTGGTTCACGATTTCTCATCAAATATTCTCGAATTAAATCTGGATTATATTCAACATCATCAATCTGTGGATAAATTTGAAGCCAGCATTATAAATTAAATCAATACATTCACTAATGATGCGGACAAAAGAGAATATTTAGTGGTTAAGGTTATTAGTTTTCAAAAACACTTAATTCCATTAGATTAATTTAGACACGACGAACAACATTTAGATTATATTTTTAGCTATAATTTTGATGTTAATAAACAAACAGTTCAATGGACGTGCATGATTTCATAAATGTTTGTTAGAGTGTTAAAATCAAATGTTGGTTCTTTCATTAATAGCTGAATATTTGAGGTTTTTGGTAGTATTGAATGAACTAGCTCAGGAATGGTTAAACAAATTTGCGGTCAAAATCTTCATATCACGAAAATACTTGCTTGCAAAAAAAAAAAAATCAAATCAAAAACTACTTTTTTCGTAAAAAAAACTAAATACGATCTAAAAATCCAAGCATATGGTTTATTTTAATGAAAAAAATCTAAATGAAAAAAAAAACGTCAAAAATAACAACAACGAATATAAACTAATGAATATAAAAACTGAAATTAAATCAAAATATGGAACTTACGAAAAGTAAATGAGGAGAGAAGTTAATGCGCCTTAAGTTCGTGTGCAATATTGTGTGTGTTTCTTATAAAATGTTTTGTTGTTGTTCGATTTATTGTGGGTTCATGTTATGTGTTGTATAAATCAAGAGTATGTGAAGTCAACATTCGCAAAATGCGCAGGATGAATGGCGTTTATTGTCTTTATTGTTGCTGTTGCATCGTTCAGCGTGAATATGATACGATTGGATATTAAAGCGCGAATTCCACAAAACAGACATATACACACACAACAATATATTTTGCGGCGACAGAGCAGATTTTGATTAGTTGCTGCAACGGCGATGGCTCATTAAATTAATTGGCTATCAGGATCAGTGTTAGTCAAAGAACGTTATTCGTGCTGATGTTTTTCCGTTTGCCGGCTCAAGCATTCATGTGCGGCGGGCAAAATTTTGTTTCAATCCTAAACCATGGAAAACCGTTTCGACGAATGGCCGTGAAAGTCCTCATCTTCGCACAGCACACACACACACAAATGTTTTAGTGACAATTGGAATGAAAAATAAATTCACAAAAGAGAAACAACAACAAGAAAAAACAGAAATAAAAAAACATCATAACCAAAGAAAGATCGAGAAAAAAAACAGAAAGAAAGATAAATAGAAAGAAATTCATGCAAATTTGCAGCGTTTGCTGAGATAACCAATTTAAATGAAAAACGTGAAAATTAAAATTTTAATATTATTGTTTTATATTGTTACACTAATCACAACATAAAGGTTTTGATTTGTTTCATTTTTTGTTTAAACAGAAAAAATATATAATAAAAAGAAGGTGATTAACGGTCGCACACGTAAAGAATTAAAATTATTCTAAAGCATTTTCAAACAAGAAGATTTTTTTTTATATGTGAAAACTAAATGTATAAATTTCAGTAAACAATCTAATGGAATTCTTCATTTTTCATTCTTCTTTTCCTTCTTCGCTTTTTTGTTTTAAATATGTACAAAATATAAACTCTCGAATCCGTAATAATCCCAGTTACATTTGGATCGTTGCGGGTGGACAAATCAATCGAATTTTGTTGGAAATAATCGTACAGCATCAAGCCTAAATCGTTTTTTTTATACAGATCTTTTTTTTCTTTACAAATTACAACAACAAATCTATGCACAAAAAGCGTAGTTTTTGATTGCTGCACTATTATTTGGAAGAAAATAAGAGACATTTCTCCAGTCGAAACGACTCATTTGTGATATTGCAAAATTAACTCTATACCACAATTATTCGTTTTTTTTTTTTAATTTGAGTTAGTCCAACTCAGTTTTTGTTTTTCAAATATATAGAAAAATAAACAATATTCTGACAATTAATTGCGTGCGACAAAAAAAAAACGTTCTGATGATTTTTTGTTTGTTAAAATAAATTGGACTTCGAAAATAATTTGTAATTTGTTGATTTTGTTATTTCTCTGAGACCAGCTGCGTTATTTGTCACATTTGAAACAATATCGTCGTGAACAAACATCACATAATTCATAAGTCTTCTTAAAAAAAATACTTTTTTCTATTATAAATGTTCATTATTTTTTAAATATGAAAATACAATTGCTTTTGTCTGTCTATATCAATTCTTTCAAAATAGTTAATCGGAATAATAAATGTATACACATATTGTATCGTATGCTCCCAAGTCGATCATAATGCCAGCTAATTGTTTTTGTTCTAATCCATAGTTAATTAGTAAAATGTCTGTCCTCCCTCAGCGATATGTATATATGTATAAAATGAATGAGCAAGTTCGGTCGAAACACCGTTTTAATCAATTTGAGTGTTTGGTCTTTTTAAATTAACATTTTTGAAAATGAACTGGATAACTTTAACTCTTTTTTTTAAAAAATGTTCCTATTTGTTTCCCTTTTCAAATACTTTCCCAAAAAAAATATCATAAATAAGTAATAATGGCTGAAAATTAGATAATTTAACAAAAATGTAAAAAAAAACAAATAACTGACATTTTTGACGCCTGAAAGCTGATGCACAAATCATTACAATTGCTTAGTTCTTTTTGGACGTAAATCACAAACGATAGTCGGGAGTGGCAAGCCCAGACGCACAAAAATCTGTATTCCCCTCCACATGAGTAGTTAAATTTATGCCTTTTTTCCAAAAATACTGCTCGTTATTGGGCAATATTGAGTTTGTGTTGTTCATTTATTTTTTGTTTGTTAAATTCTAAGCATATTCCAAATTCTGCGTAAATTGGTTTGTACCTTTTCGGTTTGTACGGGTTCGGAGGTATTCGATAAATCGATGCCTTTGCTACCAAAACTATTGCTACTAACACGTCGGATTGGTGAATTATTGGCGGAATTTTGCTGTTTCTTTTGTCCAATGGAAAAGCTCGAGCTCAGATCTTTTTTTGAATTGGATTTGTATAGATGATTGCTACTGTTGTTGTTGCAATTGCTATTATTTAGATGGTGTGTGGGTGTGCCGGTTGAATGAATTGGTGATTGTGGTTGCGTTGATGTGACTGATGCTTGATGTGATGGTGATGTGTGCATACGAGACAATGTCATTGAATCCATATTTCGTACTTTTGATGTGAGTGATTCCCGTTTACTTTTTGGTACTGGTGAATTTTTGGCTGGATTTGTTCGGGTCGGTGATGATTTTGGCGTCGAAACGGGTATCGACGATGAACTGCTTCGATTTGTATTATTTAATGACATATCTTTGCGTAGACTTTGTGCCGATTCGGGCCGATAAAGATTTGGTGATGTTGAAATCTGTGTAATTTTTTGTTGCATTGAATTTGATACATCATATCGACTATTTAGACTGCTGGTACTTTTATTGAGACTTTTATTTGACGGCGGTCCCGATGGGCTGCGTGAATTTACAAAATTTCGTCCCGTTGGCGGTTTCGGTGCTAAATAACTCTTTGAACCCGGCAATGGAATTTTACTCGGACGATATTTTGATGTTGTACCACGTACGCTACTATCACGTTCCGCATTATCGTGGGCCGATTCCGTGCTACTTGTATTTTGTAGATCATCTAATACCAACGGTGTCATTGCTTTCATACTTGGCGTCGACACTTGATTCATAATCACTGACGAACCATAATCCGATTTCATTGATTTGGATGCCATTACACGTAATTGTGCTTTTGTGCCTTCGAGTTCAATATTTCGCTCTTCCAACTGAAAAAATATCATTTTTTAAAAATTCATTCAAAATCCTGATGCTATACGCAAAATAAAGACTTACTTGAAACCTTAGGTCATCAATGTCCTCTTTCGCCTTATCTAATTTTTTGATTAGGTATATTTTCGACTTAGTTGCTTGTTCTAGTCTCTGTGTCAGAGCCTATATCATATGAGGAAAAGAAAGAGTTGGTTAACGGATTATTTTTTTCATCATCATAAGTATGATTGTAAGATAACATCATTCATATACCACGCAAGAATGATAAATTACCAAATTATGTGATATATATATGTTTTAATTTGTGCTCGTAATAAATATTTAAAAAAAAACATTGAATTCCTATTCTTTTCGTTGTGGCTCTTTCGTAACAACTTAACACACTCTGAGTCTTTCAGCCGTGCAGGCATTATAAATTTTCAAAAAAAAAAATGCGAATACAGTTCAAGCGTACGCGTATTAAGTAAATTTAATTTAAAAAGTTTGCTGAAGTGAGTCTCATAAAAAACGCATTTTAGTTACATACAATGAAGCAGCATGAGCACGATACATGCAGTTAATCTGTTTTTATTTCTCTTTAGATCAAAATCGACGGCAGCGACCGAAGCACCAAGCAACAACGGTACAATTATACACACATACGATCAATGTGAATGCAATGGATTTTGGTAATGCTTTCAAATGTTTCTCTAATTGGGCGTAAAAAATGAACGAGAGAAAATTTCAGCACGAACGCAAAAGGCAACACATTATTCGCATAAAATCTATTCGAAAAACCCCACCATCGAATAAGATTCCATATGTTCATTCAATACAACGAAAGCGAAACTATTTCAATTCTTTTTTTTTCTTCGATGTTTTTATGCGTCGTGTGTACGTGTGTCTAAAATGGAATTATCATCGTTCGACAAATTGAAATGTGGCGAAACAAACTGTATACTTGTATTGAAAATTTTCACATGTTAACTAATGTGGCTCCCATGGCGAGGTGAGAATTGAAACGAAATACACGCAGATCTATTGTCTTCCGACCGGAACTAAATATGACAGGTGATAGTTGATTAGACGAAAATTGATTAAACGCATGAACAAAAAAAATGAGACATCCACTTTTTTGTGGCAAACATTGACCAAAAATCAACAAAAGCTCTCGTTGCAATTTATACGAAAATAAAATTACTTTTCATTGTATACGATTCGTTTGCAAATTACGAATTCGAGTATCGAATGACACAGTCTATTTAAAAAAAATTGTATGACCAAATCGTTTTTTTTTGTTCAATCTTTTTGATTTTTCATGCAATATATTTTGATCGAGTTGCATCATTTCACGAGAAAGTTTAGCATACAAAAGTCTAGCGTTAACGTAACGAATGCATTAAGTGTTATTTTGCAGAAAATGCATTCTTTTGTGCAAATCACAACCAAACAAACATATGCAATGACAACTAGAGTTTATAATCCATTTCAGTTTGCAATACTTTCTTAACACCGGTTGATTTTTCAATGGTTTCTTTTTTCGTCTTTGTTTTAGCGTCGCATGAAAACATTGCACAAAATTACATTTACCATTATAATGGTATTCGGTCTCTTAACATATGATTAAGTGCTTAAAAAAAAATTATAGTATTATTTTTGTCATTCAATTTTGAAGTGTGTCTACAATTTCCACATCGAAAGGGAAGCTAATTTTGTGTAGCTGTGAATTCTGTGATATTTTGATTTTGCTTCAATACGAAAGTATTTAATTTGATAAATACGTTTTGTTTGTGCCACCAAAATTATTGCACATCAGACATCTGTATGTGGAATGCGTTATATATTGTCAGTTTATTGACCGCAAGAAAAATAAAATAAAATATAACGTGTGAAATGAAATCGAAAGTTACTTTTCTTTCTTAAAGTGTGCGGAGAGATGAGTTTGATTGAGCATACTGGCAAATATAAGATAAAATTGTGCAATGAAAGTACTTCACATGTTTTCGCATTCTCAAACCGCATCATACAAACCGAGAGATAATATCAAATTCGATTAATTCTTAATTCAAGACCATTAACCGTCTGATATAGTATAATAATGGCAGTGTCTACAGCATCATGGTTATCATCATAATCATCAACATTTGGAGTTTTGAGTACATTTGGTATCATGTATGCGCGAGTGCAATGTATGATTGAAATGACGCGCAAAATGAACGAAAAAAAAACGCGGTTTCAAAAAAAGAGAAATGAGAAGAATGATGTATAAAATATAAATTGAATAGAGGCTTTGCTATAAAAGAGCGTTGATTGTATAAAATACCATTCCATTTGAAACATACATGAAAAACTGAGATCAAAAATTGAATTCAGTTCTCATCATTCGCATTAAGTTCACAAATAAATTGATGTTCAATTAAACTAAATTAGAAGCAATTAATTCAGAGCAAAAAGCCAATGCACACCCACTGGCTGATTCAAGACTTTTGAGTTGAAATCATTTCGTTGTTTTTAATTCCAATTCAGAATCAAAGGTATGCGGCTGTTTATTGAACTAGAACTGCGATACGATTTCCTTTTACAAGAGAAGCGCGTGTTTTTTTTTAATTGAAAAAAATTATCATAAAATTAATAATAATTGCAATAAGCATAGTTGCTGTATGTTTAAATGTTAAAATGAATTGACCGTCCTTGTTTCATAAAAAAACATTTTCTATGCATGTTTTTTCAAAATATGCGTACGCTTATGCGGTATGAGGTAACTTCCGTTCTTGCATTGGCTATAATTCCATTGCATTACACACAAAATTTTGAGCAATAGTATTTGGATTTTCTTATAAAATTTTTAATTTGAAACTGACCTGATTTTGAACTGTAATTGTCAATAAATGTCGTTGCAGTTCGACGATATTTGTTTCTAATAATATGGCAGCTATTTTTCTGGAATCGGCCACTCGCACTTTACTACATCGATTTGGCGAACTGACCAAACCATCTAAACGGCCCAATGTGTATTCTTGTTGTTTATTTGCTTGCGTTATCGTTCCATCGCCGAACAATTCACTGTTCATATCAGTGTCCACAGTGACTTTTGAATTTGGTAATTGCGATGATCCGGATGACTTAACAATGACTGCTGAAAATGTATTATTTGTAACGGTATTGCTATTGCCACTAAACTTATTTCCCAACAACACATTCGAATGATGATACGTTGATGTATCCGGCGACGATAGTTTTCGTACAGCCATCGATGAGCGTTGACGAGTCTTCGGCAAATCTGCATAACTGTTTAATTTCCATATGTTTATTAAAAGCGACGAGGAAAAGAAAGAACATGAATATTTTGTTTTGAATTGAAAAAAAAAAAAATGAAATGTTTGCCATACCTCGCTGGAATGTCATTTCGATCGGAAATCAAATCATGCAATCGGCTATTTAGCTCTAGTTTTTGACTAAGTGCAATTCGTAATTGTTCCTCTAGATCACGTTTGACTATGGTTAATGCATTCACATCGTCTTCCATTTGATTTGTTCGTATTCGACCGGCCACCACTTCGGCTTCCATTTCAGCTAATTTATCAAGCAAACGATCACGATCTTTGCGTAATGTAACCATATCTTCACCATTTATCCGATTCAATTCCATTTGAAATATATCGGTTAAATGACGATTGCTTGTTTCATGTGTGGCCATATATTGATGATCATGATCATGGTGTAAATGATGTGAATCGGAATTTTTACCATCACCACCTTCTATCAGCCGCAAATGTTCCATTTCATCACGTAGCCGTGTACTTTTTCTATGTATCACATCTAATAAATTCCATAATTCGTCTTCGGCTTCATGCGATACGCGCTGGAAGCCGGATGCTGAATTACTACTACTACTGCCACCACCGATGGCAGTTGTAACGCCAGCTCCATTTGTTGACGTCGCACTATGCGTCTCCTTTGATGAGCTGGTTTCGGTGGAAAATCCCGAGTCTTGTATAACACTAGCATTATTACCTTCGCCACTCTTTGGTTCCTTCTTATTACTATGCGAATTACTTCGGCTTCGAGTCAACGAAGACGAATTATGAATATCGGATGTTTCTTTGTGATTTAGTTTACGTCGAACACGAATACCTGGTTCCCAGTCACGTCTGCGCATGTTCGCATTTTTTTTTTATTGATAGAAAATTAAGCGGAAAAAAAGAAGAAGAAAATCAGAAATGTGTATCACATTTAAAATTCATTTGAACGGTTTACTTTTCATAAAAGGTCAAAAGGGTACAGTTTTTATGTTTCGTTTTGTTTTTCGTCTTTGTTTACTTACCTTGAAGCCAACAATGACGCTGACGGCACACCGGTACTGGACGCTGATATTGAAGCCATTTTATTTTTGAGATCTGGAAATGTTTCAATGACCAAATCCCGAAATTCCAACAATGCGCCGACTTCATTCTGCAGTTCCTGCATTCAAAATTAAACAATGAAAATTAATGTCATTTATAAAAGAATTGTTTTCACATGGAAATTTATTTATCTAGATGATGGCAACAAATCAAAAGAATAATTGTGCATTTTTCATTGATTACATTTTTAAGTTTTATCCAAAATTGTAATGTTTTCATAACTTCCCAAATCAGAATCAATAACCATAATTTAAACACAGAAAAGCATTCATTGCACAAAATCACTTCACTCATTGGGATTATTTACGTATGCACACAAAACTAATACACAATAATCACTTTCAATCTTCTTCGTCTTTCTTTCTTTTTTTTTCACTCTCTCTGTGTGTCTTGCTCGCTGTCTTTTTTCACATCTCTTCGATTTTATACCTCTTTCTCAGTTCGGTTCATTTCCGAGGAACGTAACATTTAAAAAAGCTTATCTCATTTTGAACACAAGATAAGACTTTAATTCTGCGAATGGAAATTTTGAGTGTGTGTGTGTGTGTGTGTGCATGGATGTATAGTATTTTATGAATGAATAATAATTGCTTGTTTTACCACGACGAATCTGTGTAAGCGAATTGCCCGAACAAAACTGATTTACTCGCACAGCCGAACAATATACAATGTTTGAGTAAATACAAATCAGACCGTTGCAATGTGAGTGCGACTGCAGTAATAAAAATAACAAAAATAATCGGTCGATTTTTATTTTTCCGAGCCGAACTTAAGTTTGATTGGAACAACCATCATAACACACAATAGCAATGATTCAGCTAATTGCCGTCTCGGTACCCAAAGCATAATTCGTAACAAATTAATTGGCGAATGCGATAAATTAAATTGAAAGAGACGCGCAGTAGCTGCAATAACAGCCATAATAAAACAATGTAAAATACAAATATTCCATTGCATTCTTATTTTTTGTTATGGAATAATCTTTAAGGCCAACTTTTGGCCAATTAATATCGGAACGACACACTTCACGTCTTCATTCATTTTTACACATCAAATTTCTGCGTTGCAGAGTTGTCAACGTCTCGTTTGGTTATGTTCGTTTCAGTTCGCATCATTTCCTCCCCGGGGGACTATAGTCGATAAGGTTCTCACTTTGGCTATAAAACATACTCGATTGTGCATGGGGATTTAGTGTCTTAAAGATTTTGGAAACAAACACAATCTGACATTGTTGATTAAATGCATTGGGTAAGAGTTAAAGTGACCCGAAATTTGGTTGAAAATAAAAAACAACATACTGTAACTTCAAACAAAGAATTTTTCATGTTGCCCTTTAATTTTCAGCGGCATTTCAGGCCACATCAATTCTTACCCATTCAAATGCAATCATCAAGTATATAGCGGCTTTGCCATTACAAATATACCTATGTTATCTATGTGTGTGGCTCTTTTTCTGTGTGCATCAACTGTGTACAGTTATTTTGCGCGAGTATTTTTTTTACCTTGAAATCATATTAAATAGAAAGTCTGAGTCGGTAACTCATGCATTACATGTTTATGTGTATTTTAGTCCAATACATGCCACACATGCAATGTCTGTTTTTATTGTGATTTTATAATGCGAAAAAAAAAGTAAATTATTTTTTTTATAAATGACTCGAGTCTGAATGCACACCAAAACCACTGTTGGGAATTTGGTTTTTTCAATATTCATGGGCTGAGCGAAACAAAAAGTAATAAACTGATGTAATTCCATAAAGTTCCTTGTTTTTTTTTTTAAATTCGCAAGTGTCGGTATTGAAAGCGAACGGCCAAAAGATGGATATGATTTTCGTTCGAATTTCATATTGACAAAATTGCATACATTGTTAACAAGGACACACACCATTGTACACCGCAAAACGTAATATTCTGCGGGCCATCGTCAGGGTGAACTATTCAATCGTAAAACTTATATGTATGCTTCGGGGCACAATTTTTTCAACGGAATACATGGTGCAACACTCTCATAGACCTGTAAGATGGTTTGTGGTGATGGTTGTGGTGTTGTTGATATCGAAAATAACATAGTGTGTGAAACACTTTCCCCTAGTCACATACATTTTTAATCGCTTTGAAACCACATCGAAAAGAACAATTCATATATGGAAATTGTGTGCACAAACAATGCGATTACAATGGTCGATACCATGAAGTTCATAAGGTAAAGTTCAAGATAAATGTTTTGTTCCATGTCATTTGCTTTTGTATGGCCGACTAAAAATCGTTAATTTTAAAATGAAACATTACACACAGTATGCATGCCAATCATTTGTCATTCACTGCATATTTATGCTGCTAAACACTGATTTTAGTTGCAAACGTACTTAATGAAAACCATAGAATGAATAGACAAAAAGTTTTACTGGAATAAAGAGTATGCTTTGAAGAACCTTCAAAACAATACAAAATTATAAACGATAAAATAAACTTTATTTCGCCGCATATCATTAAACAAATTAAAACAATATTCGTTAAATATCATTAGTTACCTGTAGAGATTTTGTTTGATCGTTCACGTGATAATGATATGCTCCCGATGATGTTCTCAATGGCATACACTCCATACCGCGCCTTGAAGTAAAAGTGCACAATTCACCCTGTAATTGAAGAGCGAACAAAACCAAAATCGCATTAAAATACTGAAATACTAAATACATACATTAGAAACTAAATAACATTAACAACACTTCAAAAAAAAAAAAAAAATTGCGAATGGAAATGAAAGACTCAAAAAAAAAATCCATCAATAATTATTATTATTGTCATCATTTGTAATGAGCTTAAAATTTATGTAATTCGTTGTCTAGTTCATTTATAATAGACTATTTCTAGTCGCCAAATAGATTTGTTAAAATCTTTTGTTCGGTCTAACACCTTGTTGAGTGTCTTGTCAATTAGTTGCCATTAATTTCGTTGCATTGTGAATTGTCAATAGCGGTTCTCTCTTGATTTAATTCCCATTACATCGATAATGTGATTTTGCATCGATTGATAAAAGAAAACAACAACAATTCATTTCGAATTGACGATGGCTAAGTTGTTTTTTCTATGCTACTCGTGTATAAAACTCTATTATGAGATGAGCACTGTTCATTGCATAATATAAAGTGGCTCTCTTCTTTTGAATGAAATATAATTGCGGCTATGTGTTGTGTTGGCTCTCTTTTTTTCCATTTGATTCGCATGTTACCTTCAATACTTTGTAGTTTTCATTTTTTTTGGGGTGCTTACATGGCACGGTTGCCCGATCATAAAACGGATTTTTAACATGCATGGCAATACAATACTTGTGTTATTGTGCGCCTTTTTATGTTCATTTTTTCTTTTTTTCAAATCACTTAAAAAGTGCACAAGGTAACGCTAACAAATTCTAGTAGGCTGTTAAAACAAACATATTTAACGCGCATCAAAACATAATTTTAATTAACATTTCAAACGAAACTGTAAATGCTTTTTTTAAATGATGTATCGCACAGACAAATGCTCACACATGAAAACCAACAACAAAAAACAAAAGTAGATATATAAATTGATAGCGCAAGATGCCAATGGTTTCATGCAAGAGTTTATTCACATCAAAACAGAAGCAACACAATCACTTCAAGATTGAATGTTGTAACTTGGCCACCCCGAATGCACGAATAAAAGTTTTCGTTTGTTATCAATTTACTGGGCGAAATTAAAGAGACATTTTATTGCATTTTATTCGGACGTTTTTTTTTCTTACCGAAATGCAATTTTGTTTTTCAATGATGATGTGAAGAAAAGTCAGTGTAAAATGATATTTTGCTTCTTTTACAAATTGTTTTATCGAGTTTTAAACTCTCAGAGTAATATAATTGCCCAGACAAATCGAATGGAACCGAAAACTGGCCGTCCTACATGAAATCCAGTCTGTGCAGTCTGTTACTGGAATTTTAAATGCGTATGTCTGCTTGATTTGCATCGCAATTGGTCAGTAACTGTATTCAGTGATTCAGTTCACGTAATGTGGATCATAAAATTGAAGATGCATACAAATAACACACACACAACATTGAAAACAGGTTGATTGTCCCGTTCACGATGGACATACCACGCATATTGTGCACTAAATCTTTCTATTTAGAAGTTGTGTTAGCTCGTTAAAAATCGGTTCAGTGTTCAATATTAGGTTTTTTTTGCAACGGTCAAACACATCACACACACATCATCGTACTCAATCGTTCAAATCTCCTCCAGTCGTCGAGAATGATTTTGCTATTTTACACCACTTTTTTTTCTTAATCGCAATAATTTCAAAACGAAGGACAAATAGTGGCCAAATGACGGTTCCTATGTAATTTATAGTCTTCGAAAAAAAAACCTTGTTCAACCTCGGTCGACAAACAAGGAGATTTCTACAGAATATTTCAAATAGAATTTAAAATGCATTCAAATACTCAAACGAATCTGATCTCGGACTAATTTGGTATTAAATGATGAGAGTACATGACGAAGAAATAAAAAAAACATGTTTGAAATCGATGCTACATGTTCGTTCATCTTAGCTACTGTTTTTTTTGTCAACATTTCGTTATATGCCGTCGCTGCGAACGAAAGAATCTTACAATAGATAAACATATTCATGCAACACCATTAATCTGTATGGTTTCATGATATAATCACACGATATATATGTTTTGAGATTGTGAACTTCTTTCATTCGCGCCTAATTAAGTGTTCTTGAATGGTAAAACACACACGAAAACAAGCAACTTGGTGAAGATAAAAGGTAATTTGTTGAGAGAAAAAAAAAGTTTAGAGAGCAAAAAAAAAACGTGAGCGTACATGATGGCGCACATTTAGTACGGCTTTTTTGGAATCGTTTTTTGATTCTTTCTTAATTTGAATTCTTTGAATTCACGTCAGCTACACACAACAGCAGAAGCAAAAAAAAATCGTTGCTCAAAATGTTGCGGATTGTATTTTGTAAGGGCAATTTATCCGTAAGTTATAAGCATTTGGAATCGGATGAAATTGTTAAGATGTAGCAAAGAATTCAAAGGAATTCATATTTAAGTGGTTTTTTTTCGCTCGCTCGCTTCTCTTATTTCATGAAACAATAGTATTTCATCAATAAGCTAACTCACGATTTGTGAATGCAAGATCTTTTCAATTTATGATTAATTAATTCGTGGCTAAGAATTTCAGTGATTTCAAGCTGTTCATAGGTATACATTCGAAAAGAGTTGAAATAAAAATTCACTAAAAGCAAAAAAATTATATTTCGATTCATTCTTAAATCTTCATCCTAATTATCGTCTATTCTCAAAATGTGTCGAAACTCACTCTCTAAATTCTCTCTTTCTCTTGAAAGAAATCGCATCGACGTAATACGAACAAAAGTAAATAATTGAGATTCAACTGTTGATTCCGATGTGAAAAGTGGTTTCACATCATACAGAGAAAAAGACAAAAGGTGTACATGATGGGATGAGAATTAAGCTGAGACTACTAAGAAATCGTAGAGACATGTACTTTGAATTTCGCTAGAAACTATTCTCATAAAACACAACATAAAGTCCATGTACTGCAACGCTACCCATGCTGCACTTTTGAGAAAACCATAGTCAGAAGACGATTTTCAAAGTGCACATATTACCACTTTTTCTGCTACGACACACATGTTCATAGATTTTGACCTGGGGTCCAAGACGTGACATTCACTGGACAACCGATTTGAAATTGGATTGGATTGAAGGCTAAGGTTTCTTGTGACAATTAAAGAATCGCTAATTAATTATGAAGACATCTTTCGGAATACACTTTTTTGGAAATGAATTGAGTCTTTTTTCTCCAAAAATGTACACTGCATTTATTGACGGTACACGAAATGTTGTGTCTTACTTTTTTTTACTCTTGTTTTTTTTTTTTTTGTGTAGGACGCAGGGTGTACACTAGATGAAATGAAACTTTAGAAAGTAAAAACCTTTTTTGAGTCTTTTTTGAAAGCGTTTTTTTTGTTGTTTGGCATTATTTTCTTGTGGTTTCAATTATACGTGGTAATGACACATACAACAGAGGCCAAAACAGCTCTTTTGGCTAAAACACCATCATTTTTGCATCAATGGCGAGAGATTGATGTGTATTTAAAATCAATTATCCATCTCATAAATAGTGTACACCGTGCCCACCCTTATGAAATCTATATATTATATAGCCCGAACCTATACGTTCGTCTTTTTGCATGTGTGCTCAGAAATGGTAGCTGCAGTGTATTTAGTTACGTAATTGTAATAATAAGTTTTAAAATAAAAAAAAAATCGTTCGAAAAATCCAAAGAGAAAATAAGTTCATCGCCTCAAGAAAATGCTTATATGGAAATTGTGTGCGAGATCGACTTCGCGATGATCGCGTATGATTCAATGCAATGCCTCGGCACGATAGATCAATATTGAATATGCTTTTGGGTAGTTATTTTGTGGCCAAAAGCGATCAGTTGTCGTAGTCATCGTCATGCACATCTGAAGTGTTGCCGAACGAATTTGTTTGCTTACGGTTTCAGTCTGATATATATGCTACAGTAGCTGAAACAATATATGTATTTGTGTGTATGTTTTTATGGCCGCATAGTCATGTATTGTGTGCTAATCTGTCGCTCTGAATCGTCTGGATACAAATAATGTAATACGTAATAAATTTATGGGGCAACTGTTTTTGCTGCAAGCCATTCTATAATTCGGTTTTCGCGCGCGTGTGGTTTGAGAGTCTTTTAAATCTGACGTATTTTTTTTATGGTTTTTTGGTCTAAACTTATAAATTCGAAAGTACAGACAACGATTTGCAATGATTAAAATATATTATAAATTTAAACTAATTCAACAAAATAAATGAAAAATTACGATTTGCCATTCACCACATATTTTAATCGGCAATTGTAGCGGCAGTTTATAACAGTTGTCGTTTCTAGTTTTTTTTCTTAGTTTATTGAACATTAAATACCAAATGGAATCAAATCACAGCACAAATCAACTTTCTATCCGTCGACTTAGTACGTTAAAAAAAATGGCTCATTTCCATTAGTCAAAGTGAAGCGAATGTGCATCACATACACACGTCATTAATATATTGAATCGAGATATGAAAAATTTCGTCTAATAACCTGGGAATTTTATGCATAATTTTCGATTTACTATCATCCATTCATAAAAGATTAATCCACAACGAAACAAAAACTGATTTTTCATTTGATTTATGTGTTCGGCGAAAAATGAAAATAATGGCGGAAACAATACGAGCCCTACAAATTTGCGATTTGCGTCAGATTCACATTGACCCCATAAATCAAATATCAACAAATATAATTTGATATTAGACAATTTTCTTCAGCGCAATGCACTTCCTCTTCTACTTTCACAAATTATTATAATAAACATTGTACAAAATATGTTGATCATGTTCGGTGACATGGATTTTAACAATTTGGTTTTTCATAACTTAATAGTAGTTATTAGGATTTTGATCAACAAAATAATCATCAAACCACACATATAATCATCAATAGACTCACAAAATGAGAGAGATAGATTTTATATCGTCTCATTACTTCCGATCGTTCAACCCAAAACCGTCATTCAAATTTACACTTTGAATTGAGGTTCAATAGCAAAACCGCAACAATAACGTCGACTCCGTCTTGGGCGAGGAAATAATATTGGCGTGTTTATGCTTCTCTCATGTGAAATTATGCATGAAAGTGGGAAAAACAAACAATATTGATTTTTATGACACGATGAATCATACTTGTATAAAGATATACGTTTATTCACGTGGATTACACATTTTGACGAAAACACATTTTGTGGGCACATTTATGAAGTTCGTTTCATCATTTTTGAATGAAATTCCAATTAAAGAACTTGTATTAAAGCCCATCTATGATTGAAAAATAAATATTCTATTGTATCATTTGTTTAATTTTATACATATATTCATACATGTATTTCGCAAAAAGTTATTTATCTTGCGAAAATCTCCTATGATTTACAACTTTTTTCAAATTCAAATAGTAAAAAAAGGCAGCATCAATTAAATGAGACAAAATAGCACAACAATTTATCGACATAAATAAAATTGAACAGAACAATCGTTTTGCTACTTACAATATGTTTTATTCCAGACAAATTGTTCAGAGAGAAAAACCAAATATGATGAAACGATATCTTAGCCAATCGTATTCTTTTTTTGTTCACTGCGAACGGTTGCGAAGACAATGAAACTGTTATTTTATTAAAAATCCATCGAAAAGTCAGAATTCTCAAACTGTACACACAGATGTTTCGATTACATAAGAAATTGTGGGAATTTTATCATTTTTGTGTGACTGCATTTAGTTATATTGAAAGAAAGAAAACCATCAAATGCCCAAATTCAATGCGATTTGGTGTACGTTTGTTTTCAAATGCCGCTTAAACAGTCATCATGCTGATGATGTTGATGGTGATGTGTCGACCCGACCATGTGTACGTATGATTTATCTATTGATACTTGTTTTTAACGAGATTAAATAGTATTTTACAACCAACTGCAGCACAAGTTTACACCTGAGACGCTGGAACTCGATTTCATCTGATTCCTTCGCTGTTATATTAGTTTTACTACGCAGTTATTCAATGGAACATAACAAAAATGATGACGAAAAAATAACTATAATGTACTTCGCACTGAGTATTGGGGAAGCAATCAAATGCTTTGCTTAATTTTTCTTTGCATTCGTGCTGCTGCCGCTGCTGTGTTTGTTTTTGTGTCGGTTTTTTTAACAATTTTAATAGTTTTTTTTGTGTGTACGGGAAAAGAAAGGCGGACATATACTCAACGCATACATTTGCACGCTGTGGGTCTATTTGTTTATATTTTTTCATAATTTTATGTAGCTTTTTTCTGTTAAAATCTTTTTTTTAACATTTTGTTAGGCTGAATGCAAGACGTAATTTCTGATATTTCTCTTTGTCATGGTGAAATCTTTGTCCAATGAAATGGCATTACATGTGGTGTTGGTTCAATTATCACAATGTTGTGGAGCTCAATGAGACGTAATGGCTGACAACAACATATACACATACCATTCAAATCATAAACTCTATATTAATTCATATTGTTTATATGTCCAAAAATATGATTTTCACTTTTCAATAATTCCACTGAACACAGATTATTTGCGGAAAATGAAACATTTTTTTTTGGTTTTACTTTCGCATTTATTTTTATGTGTGTGTTAAAATTGGAGAAAACATTTGTGGTCAATTGTATTGAATGGCCACCGCAAAAGTATAATCTATTTGGAAATGGTGAAAATTCGACAGACAATTGAATAGATCAGCGAAGAAAGATCACAAATGGAAATAATTGCAGCGTTTATGCGTGGTCTATCGTCATTTATTATAATTTGTTTCATATGAACACATCGATGATTGGATATTTTTCGTGTTTTAGCTGAAAGTTTTCTTCAAGCACTTATATTTTATCGATTAATCTAGGCGCTTCATCTTCATCTCTATGAATGTCTGAAGTGTTAAAGTGGCTCATTTATCTCATTTGAAGCGCCGTCTGTGTACAACAATATTTGAATGCACACAAAACAATAAACAAGGAACAGCAATACTAATTAAACAATGTACAGATTTGAAGAAACCCACTAACTTTTCCGGTGTATTTTCCAAATTCGTTTTTTAACGCCATATTCTTTTTTGGATACGAACATTTTTTTGTCTGCAATACTTTTGCTGCATCGACTCTGTGCGCCGCATATATGTTTTGTGAATGTAAAAATATATATTTATAAAAAAATAAAGCAAACACAACACTTGAGTGAGTTTTATGATACACTGAAATGAAATTTAATTTGCGCGTCAATGTGCAGGAGTTTCATGGAATGACAAGTCAAATAAATAAGTATCTTATATTATTGGTCTTTTTCCCGCTCAGACAACGAGCGGGCGATTCAGTGACCGTGAAGAGTCAACATGCATATTATATTTTTGTTTGTGATCAAATTGCGCATTATTATGGCATTTAAACAATATCAACTACACATTTTTTTAATGCATGTATGTATGTGAGCGCACGTTCGTTCTTAGCAACTGGATTGACCGAGAAATAGAAATGCGAATAAAAAGGCCCTTGATAATTGGCTCCATTGCGATTTAGATGGTTTTAATTCAGGTAGACTCACCATCTAAAATTAGATATTGTTGACTGTTTGTGTGGTTTAAACTTAAATTACAGCGTTTATTTGTGTAGCTCACGTTTGACATTTTCTCAAATGATAATTGAAACGAAAATTACATCGAAAATTGCGGAGACTCACAAAATGACACGGTGGCCTTGATGTTTGTGTTGTATCTTTAATCCAATGCGGAGACGACAACGAGCCATTGAGTGGAATAGTCTCAAAAGTTAATTTGTTTGAAACAAAAAGCCACCGAAATTTGAAAACACTTATTGGCTGCATACAAATCGTAACATAAATCGGCTGATTTAAATCTTTCGACTACCGCCAAGGATCAAAATTAGAAAATAACCGTAGTCAATCTTGCTGATTACATAACATTTTAAATTTCAATTAAAATTACTACGATATTGTTAATAAATATTACCCTTATATGGAACAAAATGCGGGCTCAAATTTACGGTTGTGACTGAACACCATATATGCACTGACACATGAATTGAGACCGAAACTGCATTAGGGCTGGCCATTTTCACTCAGAAAATTTCTATTCACATAATTTGTTCTTTCTTCATCTTTTCCGCGGTAACATTTCAAATTTGAAGACAAAAATAATGAAAGATTTCTTTAAATTGAAGAGAGTAAGAGAAAACATTCAATTATGATAAGCTTCAACATGAATTTTCAATGAATTTATTGTTGACACGGAAAAAAAATACAGAAAAATTATGGGAACAGACAATTGTATTGTAAATACAAAAATGGCCAGCCCTAGATTGTAAAAACCAACACAAATCCAATGGTTCGCATTATAATCCACTGCAGTTTTTCCCGCTGATCCGCAACCATTCAATTGAATTGATCATTCAAAATGAATTGTTTAATAAACATATCAATTTAGTTAAACTGTCTCATATGAATGAGCAAAAATTGACTGAGGCTAATCGAGAAAGATCTGAAAGTGCTTATTAGACGGGCAATTTGCAACATACCGTTCGCTTAATAAACAATTCTTCACTCTTTTTTTCTTAGTTTAATTAGGTGTACATGCTTTGTTTTGTTTTGTTTTTTCCTGCATTAAAAACATTGGCACGGGACATATCCGTATTGTCACATCATCGTCGTCGTCGTTGTTGTTTCAGTGTGCCAACACTTTGACGAATACCATTACATAATTGTATTGTGTTTTTCATATGGGTTGAAGCAATGAACAAAACAAGCCGTGTACACATACGCGCCGTGCCATGCAAAATTAGGCATCAATAGCGCAGCTTCCATATCTGTGTACACAATTTTCCATTTTAAATCGAACGCCGTAAATTTGTTACGCTGATTAACCGAAAGTCATAAATATCATTACAGACACACAAAATTATCTAGTGAATGTAAATTAATTAATTGTCCACATCAACTTCAATTCAACGACAATGAACGCTCGTTGCTTCTGTTACGATCGAAAATGGCGAATTGTCTATATGAAATAGTCGGTGAATTGCATTTATTTTTTCAAACCCATTCAACATGGAAACAAAATGCGCTTAATAGCCAAAAGTCGTGGGCTATTAAAAAGTGTCAACTTTTCTCTTCAACTTCTTTCTCGCATTGCCCATTGGCAAAAAAGAAATGAGGAAAAAAGTAAACTCACATAAAAAATAAAATCGCAAATGGGCCGTATTTTTCCAGTCAACCATTTCAGTTAATTTTTATGGCCATTGTTAAACATATGAAGAAAGTGAAATTTCATTGTTTTGACTTTTAATGCCAACAATTTTTTTTCTTTTGCTCATTACGCTTAGACATAAGAAAAAAATATAAAACCAAAAAAAAAAATCGAAATATCGTAAACATTAAAAATGTGTCCAGTGGTAAGTCACTAAAAACTGGTGAAACTCAGTTTTTTTTTGGTTTTGTAGAGCGATTTAATGCTTGATTTTCACACTTACTGATCGGTTAGAAAATGGTTTATGGTTTCTCTTTGCTTCAATGATACGTACCTGAACCTGCAATGAAACAGAACAAAATTAATATTGAGGCCAACGATTTCTTGTTTTTAGGTTCAATAATCTAAACTAGTGCATGAAATATATAATAAAAAAAATAACACGAATTGAATCATAAAAAAAAATCTAAATTCGTTTTGTTGGCGATACAATTTTTCCGCGAAAGCATCTGATTTTATGGAGTGAACTCAGTCCACCTTGAAATTGATGGACGCGCAATGTCTTCAAACGTCGGATGTGAAACGAAAAAAAAAAAAAAAAATTCTGACATGAGAATATAAAGCCGCGAATAAAACAAAGAAGTTCGAAAAACGTTTTAAAGTTTATTTGAGTGTTCGAGAATGGATGCGACTTCGGAAATCGCTTTTTCCATCGGGAAAGCGGGAAAAATCGATTCATGGATCGGTTTTTATGTGCTTCTGATTCTATTGTACATCAACTTTGTTAATGAAATGAACTTCAGTCAATTTTTTTAAAACTACAATATTATACAATTTCATTGAAGTAAAACACAATTTCTAAATTTATGTGAATGCAGAATTCACCCAGTCATTCTCGGACATTCATTTAATAGATCAACGTTTCTCATAAACATTTTGTTTTTCAGCCAGCATATGTAATGACCTTCATTTCGATGTGATCTTAAATAACGCTGCCAATTACACATATCTATTTCTAATTTCAAATTAAGCGTTTAACGCTTTTGTTTTTTTTTTTATTATTGCCAAAAACTTAATAAAACATGTTTTAAAATTGCGGAAAATACGGGGTACTGTGACATATCACATGTAATTAGCATTTCGGTCCGAAAATTTTCTGCTTCATCTTATTTCGGCAAATAAACCAACTATGATCTCGACCTTTTGGCTGAATTTTATTTTGTTCTTTCCGTCTTTGGTTTTTTTTTTCTTGGTCGACAATGTCGATTCATCGACATGGAAACAAAAGTGAAATCGGTCAAAAATTGAACATTACCAAATGAAGTTTCAATGCGGAATGAGAATAATTGGATTAGAAAATGTGTTGTATGACATTCACCACTAGGCGAAAAATTATTGATAATATTTTCTTTTTTTTCGTATGTAATACTTTCACACTTTTTGATAGTGTTGCTATCCTCGAACGGAATGATGAGACGCAGAGAGGGAGCATGCATATGAGAATCACATAAGTGAATTCGTGACTTTGGTAATTTGGTTGCTGGTTGTTTTTTTTTTTTGTTTCGTTTCCAATTGAAACCAAACAAAATCAAACTTAAGCGCTTTTGATAGAAAATACAATTTGAGTGGGCTCTTTCGGGGTTTTGTCTGTATGATCGATGAGCAAACTGTTGGGAAATCCCCCAGAATAACGACAACCTAGCAATGACGACAGAGGTAAAAAAACACGATCGAAATCAAACACCAAACCACACACAAAATATTATTATTCAAGTGTACACACTATGATTTCACTGCTGACCGTTCAAACAAAAGGGCAAACGACGTTGGAAAAAAAAGTGCACACATTGTATGTGAAAAATTCAAAACACAGCGATGTATATACTCGAATTCAGCCAATTGCATAAATTTATATTTCGTACAAAAGAAAAACATTAACTTCAGTCTGCATGTTGCTCCCCATTTCGTTTCAATTTTAGCATATACACATATATATTTTTTAACCGCAAATTTTTTTAATTATATCTTCGAGCTGTATATGTTGTGTGTGTGTGTTGGATGATCTTTCGCCAATGTTTTTTTTAATGGCTTTCTGCATTAAGTCAGGTGTCACAAAAGCATCGATAAATAGCACAGATTTCATTAGAAGTGAAAGTGAGCATGCCTTTTTTTAACTGTTCAACGGAACGTATTTATGCAAATTTTCAGAAAGTTAAGCTCACTGTATATACACATTCGAAATTGGCGCAGACACACAATTGATGGAACATTGATTCTGATGTTGATGATTTTATGAGCGCGAGAGCACCACATAGAGGCTAATGTTGAACACGTTTCGATTTTTTTTCTCTCTCTTCCTCTCGCTCTATCTATCTATCTCGCTGTGTTTTTGCATTATTTTAAAGTGATTGCCAGTGTGAATTTCTATTAGCATCACCTTTGACATAGACAAATTGAGAGTTTACCCTACATTTTGAAAATGTCAGAACAATTAACCTATTATCTGCATGTTCTTGCGACGAATTGCCCGAATAAAACGATGCCAATATAGAAAACCATGCATTGGCCCGATAATCTCCAAATTGAATGTAATAAAAATAAGATTCAAATCACGGGAATATTCTCATTTTTTGTATTCGTTTTGATAAACAAAAAAGAATCCATTGGTTTTGAGTCAGATTTTCGAATGAATCAATATAAATTTCGTTAATGTATATATGTATATTCAGATGAATAGAAAAATGGAGCAATGTAGCGGCCGCACACTTTTAAATGAATTTAGAACAAGTATGCATACACACAATCTAACAGCAACATGTATTTAGATCTTTCACTCAAATGTCGGCGACCATAACATTCAATGCAGAAAAAGAATACCCCGTTATTATTGGTTTATTGCCACAGTCAACAAATTGACTGTGCGGAAGCACAAGACCAGAACGCACCGTGAATAATAACGTACACAGCATTTTAAACGTTCTCATTCACTAGATCCGTTGTATGAAATGATTTTGCGTGCAACAACTGCATAAACAGTACAAAACAACGATCAATAATTTCATTCGTGGCAGACAGTTTTCATATTGCAATATATATAATAGCATTGTGAAGCATTAAAGGTGATGACGCATTTACAAAGTAAATTTTTACATATTGCTCTTGTTGCACAGTTGGATGAATGCATTCGAATCTTTTTTCGATTCGTTCCAAGAGCAACACATCAGAAACCGTCAATAGCATTTACAACAGCAGCAGCAGCATCCGTAGCAACAAATGTTCCGCTGTACTATTTTATAAAATCCATCATCGCTTGTTGCGTTCAGGTTGTTGTTGTTCTTCTTCTTATTTTTTTTTTTCTTTCAAATATATTTGCACTTGGTTTTTATCGTGCATTGGTTTTCTGTTCAGTCATGATTGTTGCTTCATCGCATACCAAAACGAATTGATCGAAAGAATGGAACTGAGCCACATCACCATAAATTTCAGTAAATTGACCAATACGTTATTGATTTAGTTTTTTTCTTTTTATTATTATTGTTGTATCGTTGCGCTGATTCAGTTGGGCCACAAGTATGTATAACCTTGGTAAGTTTATTGAAAGCCAACCATTTCGGTTGCAATACTAAAATCATGATTGCAATGCATAAAAATACTAAATGGTATTCGATTAAACGCACAAAAAAGGGCCCCGCCGAAAAATTTGTCGATAGATTTGTTACCAAACATGATGTGAATTAAATATTTCAAGCCAATAAAATTGTTCAAGCGATGCGGGTTCTTTGAATTTCAAGGTCTGTGGATTGGATTTTTATTTTATTTTTTTGTTTATTATTAACATTTTGACGTGGATTCAAGTGACACAGGCTCACAGTTATTTTTCTTTTGAAAATGGCCAAAATTATGTCATTTTTCTGTTTTGACTTTCGGCACATAGCCTATGAGGCACTCATAGTGTGACATAGAAACTGTGTATGATGTGTATCGCTTTTATTTATATTACGCCATGAAATCAAATTTAATTGGTCACTTTCAACGCAGCATGGCAGACATTTACAATTTCCTTGACTTGCTTGCCAACCAGATGAACTTGTTGAATATTTATTAGTGAAACATAAAAAAAAAACAACGAATAAATGACGAAATCGTATCTGAATGCAGGCATTTCAGCAAAAAAAAAATACGTCAATTATCGAATGCATCTGATAAAAACCATTGACCTGTTGCTGTATGTCAATTTATAGGCACAAAAATGGCTATTTTACTATGTAATCATACCATCAATGATACATTGATGACCTTAGATTGATAAAAAATGGCAGCGCACAACATTACCATCAAAAGAAGTGCGCGCAAATCGTGTGTGTTTGTTTGTTGCGCCGCCTTTTTATATTTACTATGATCTCAATAGCTTCTGACGGTGGCGATCAAAGGGAGGATTCATTCCAACATTTTCTAAGAATGTAAAGGGGGTAAAGACCCTAGAAAATCTCAAACATTTCTTAGCAAAAGATATTTTTTCATTTTCCATTCCAAAAAAAATGAATGAATTTGATTACGGGGGGAGGGGGTATTCCGAGTTCTCAGATCTCCTGGCCAGAAGCTATCTATTTGATGGACCAGTTATTTTATGGTGGCGATGAATACGAACCGCATTAAAATTAAATTTTAAAAATTAAAAAGTCATAAAAAAAGTCTGCAGATGCTATACGAACCAATGTACTGAATGTTAGCACGAACGGAATAACTCGTTTTACAAACTCGATATCCCGCATGCAACAGACCAACATGACCAAATTCGATTAAGTGACGATATTAACAAAGATGTCATCACGATAAAAAAAAGAAAATAAAAAATTATTACACATTTTCTATACGACTAGTCTTATAAAAATGAATATGTACATTTTCCCATCACGTTTGGTCTAATTTTACTCACAAGCATTTCTATGTGCTTTTGTTTTCATCAGAGACAACCTCTTTACCTATGTTTGTTGACGCATTGTCTTGACGGTCAACGGTAGACTCTACTAACTTGATCATGTGTTCGTACACGCGCAGCAGTACAATAACGCTGCATGTAAAGTATCGCAAATATTAAAAAAAATGTATGCGTCGACGTTTAAGACCATGGATAGGTGATTCTTGTGTAACGTTGCTGTCAACGCATATTGGTCTCTGGTTTTTTCCTATCATGAGATGAGTGATGGTTGTATTGTGTGTGTGTGCTCTCGGCATGAGCCATGCAGCAAGAAATCATGTTTCCTACTGAATATCCATTAAATCGACATCACATTTTAAGCAATCACCTCGGGCAACTATTTACACATAATAAAACATGTG